GTATATTACCAAGTAACCCAGTGAGAACTGCTTGCCTATCATTTTAGTTCAAAATACAAGAAGTTTTATTCCAAGCAAGCATCGCAAGCCCGCTAGGTTAATTTCTGCTGCTTGCTTGGAATAAAATTTCTCATATTTTATATTAAAATGATAGGCAAGCAATTCTGTTAAAAGCACTGGCACTGAACGTTTCGCTTCATGCAGTCTATTTTGCAACTTTTTTAAAATGATGTCAATCCCGAAAATCTCGGGATTAGGAAAACTTAATCCCGAAAATTTTGGGACTGAAAAGTGGTCGGGATCCCGATGTTCGAGATCCTGGGATCAAATCCTCTACTCATAACAGATGGCATCACATACAATTTTAACTTTATTGCTGGGAAAATCATGCAACTCATTGCTGGATTTTTACATGGTGATGATTATAAAATTTATATGTCATGAAAGTGGAGGATTGTACAACAAGAATCCACTTCACAAATTACATCAGTATATTTTCATTTTTTAATATCAAATTTATGGAAGCAAAATGGAATTTGGATAAATATGCTGTATTGAAATCAATTTAATTGCAATGGATTATGGTTTATTTAATTTCCAACAAAGTTACTTATAATTAATTTTCATCATTGTTCAAATGTCATTTATATGATTAAAGATTGAATGTCGTTATTTACTTATATTTGCTTAATTTAGTAAATTCTATATATCTTTAAATAATGGCATAAATTTTATGAAAGTTTGAAAATTTATTTATCATGTATTAATTCTGAAATTTTTAAATATATTTAAGTTATAAAAATATTCACAATTAGAAGAATATTGAGGCTGATATGTAACCTCAAATAAAAGGTTGACACTCCATAAAGCACAAGCTATGGAGGAGACATTATTGTTTTTTCTAACCATGAATTATTTCATATTTCATTATTGTCCCATCTATTATATTTATTAAATATTCCCTACAAAACATTTATTAAATATTCCATATAAATTACCTTATTCTGTTCTTCTGTTTCAATATTACTTAAAATGCAGAGCTGAGATGATGATAGATGTATTTGTTCACTCAAGTTTTGCAATTTCTTAGTGATCCTACAATTATTTTTGATAAAGTTTTTAAATCAGTAATATAAAAATATCACTTGATCCAAAATTTTCTACTCTCATAATTAAAACTTATAGAAATAGCAAAAGAAACAAGTAAAATTTATTTTTCAGTTAAATGACTAAGTGTTAACTGACTCAATATCAGAATTATTCATTGTTTTCATCTTCAAATTAAGAATTTTAAAGATATAAAAATTTCATTGACAAAAGTTATAATTTATATTATAACTTTTTCATTTACAAAAGAATATAAAAACTTTATTTACCTTATATTTTTTGTTTTAACAATCCATCCTGATAAAATTTTAGAAAAAGCTTCTGTTTTTGTACCAAGAACTTTTGCCAAATCAAAAATTGCATTCTGAAATCAAAAAATATATAAAATATGTGAAATTAAGTTTTGTATTGTTTTAAATAAATTAAATTCCAATTTAATATAATTGAATCAATTACATTTACATTAAATATGTTCTTTACCTCAGAATTTGTCTTCTCAGAAAGTTTGATTAAATCTGTTAACAATATTAAAATTGATTTCGAGATGCCTATAATTTCATCCTCATTTATATCTTTCATATAAAGATCTATTTGTTCAGTTGTAATCTATATAAGATGATTTTAATTAATTGGATTCTTAATTATATTGCTATTTTACTGTAATTCTTGTAATAAATATATTTTGAAAATACTCACAAAAATCATTTGTAATTTTTTATTCAAGTTAGGTTGAGATAATGAATTCCTAAGTTTTATTCTGAAAATATTAAGAAAAAACATTTCCAATCATATAAATTCAGCAATGTATTGAACAATGCTTAATAATGTACTTTTGTATTATATAAGTAATAATGTATTACATGATCTTAATAAATTAAGTAATTACAAAACTCACTATATAGACATACAATTGAAAGATTTTCCAGTATAGTATAGATGGTACCCATACATACTATATATATATATATATATATATAATATATATACATACATACACACTTATATAAATTCTGTAGTTATATATACATAAACTAATGATTGTATGTACAAGTACTAGCAGAAGTGAAATAAACACCTTCAAAATAATCATTTTCTGTAGCAGAAGCTACAGAAAATTATTATTTTGAAGGTGTTCTTTTGTAAATACTTGTACTGTTAATATAATAAAAATTATACTTAGAGCTGTCTACCTTCATCAGATAAAATTATACTCAATCCAGTTTTTTTTTTTCTTTCACTTAATGCAATGCATTATGTCGGTGATACACTAAGATTTGTTCAAGTTCAAAGTTGTTGTTCATCGATTTTTAGCAATTTATTCCTGAAATTTCTCTTCATCAACAGTTTTTATATGTTTTATATCCTTTACTTCAAATTTCCTGAACAAAACTTTCAAAACCACATTTCACATGTCTGATATTTAGAAGCATCTTCCTCATACACTACAAGTATTTTTTACTGTTTGTATAGCATTACATCTTTTACAAAACTAAAAAGCTTAAATATGCTTGATATGCATTTTATCTGCAGAAATTTTCATTTGATTTTACATGAACAAAATGTGAAATTTTAAAATTATCTTCTAAACAAAGAATACAATATTGTATTAGCAGTAATGTATTACATTTCACAACTATTATAATTAGACTACATATCTATATTGGAAATCATCTTCAGCACAAAAATAGCAAATTCACCAACAGAGATTGATGCAATTAATTTTGCATGTTAATCAATTCCTGCATTAAGCAAGGGATATCTATATTTGACTTTACCATGTATAAAGATTATTTATTTTTATATAAACATATAAAAATGATTAATAGACTACCTTCAAAATAAGTATCTTGCAGCTACATACTTCTGCTAATGTTTAAATCATTTGTTAGTGGAGCCAATTTTTTTCAATGACTTTAAAGACTGTAGTCACTGCAACTTCCAGCTTGACTTCCATTGTTTATGCTGGTCAGTAAATATCTGACCAAGGACATAATAGCAATTTCCCAATCTACTTATTCCATTAATTTTGCCCTCACAGACTTCTATCTTTCCCTAAACCGAGAGAAATATTGAAGCAATGCAATAAGCAGCAGAATGAAAGTTGCAGTGTCATTACAGACATAATAAAAATTGGCTTTCAGACAAGCTTTGAAAAGTGATATAGATACTAGCAGAAGTGTATATGGTGTGTAGATGCAGAAGGAGCTTACTTTGAAAATAGTGTGGTCATAAGAATTTCTGTGTTGTATAATAAAACCAGTGCCAAAAATTCAGTTTATTTTTTATTCTACTATGTATTTAATACTATTTTGAGTTGAAATAATGCATGTATGCATATGTAAACATCATTGAAAAGAAATAATATTAATGAAACAAGTATATAAAATAAAACTCAAACTAGATTAATGTACTGTACATCAATATCCAATAATTGAAATTTTTCAACATTGAATTATAAAATTTAAATATTTTTTCTATGCAAAAGAAGCTTTAAAAAAGTTTTCAATATTTTAAAATTAGTTGTGTAGTTAGTTAAAATTATAGAATCTCATTAAAAGAAATTGCAGGGGTAATATTTTTTATCGTGTTAATTTTAATAATAATTTTACATTATGTTTAAACATTAAGAGATAACTGAAAGGTCTGAATGAAGTTGAAAAGAATCTAAAAGTACATATTACATTCTTAATAATATCAAATTATATATTATCTACTATTAGAAAACAAATATAATAAATTACTTTCTTTTAAAATAAAGATATGAAACAAATTTCTGAAGAGTTACAAATATAATCAAATATATGAAAAGTTAAATTTAAATTTTCCAGAATTATTTTTAAAAATTTAATATTAAATATAACATTTTCATATTCAATTATTGTTAAAAATGATATACAAAAATGTCACTTTCTGTACCAAATCATTACATCAATACCTGTTAAAAAAGGACACTGCTTCCTTTGAAGTATTTTCAGAAGCAATCTTTCTAGTTATATCTGGTTGGATGCAATTTAACACTGAATCCATAAAATGTTGATAATCAGTAGAATGCAAATTATCTTCTTTTAACATCTCTTCAGAATGTTCTTGTAATGATTCTGTACATTTAGATGAGAAATGAAATGAAAGATCTGCAATTCTTTTCTTGTTGCTCATATCTTTTGCTTTTTCAAGCAATTCTTCACTATTGAAAGTAGAAGATAATGATGATATATTTTCTAAAATATCTAATTAAAAAACACAATTAAAAATATATTCAGGATTACTGAAAGAATAAAATCATAATACGATGAAAAAATAACATATTTTTTACTTTGAAATATTTAAAAAGTAAGAATTTTCATCTATAATTTTATGTTGTAATAAAATAAATAAATTTGTATACTATTATAATGTATATATTAGATGTTGAGCAAACAAAACATATTCCACATTCACGTAATTAATTATTATTAATTTTATTAAAAAAGCAAGTAAAAGATTTAATAAAATCCATATCATTTCCAATAGTTAAATTTTAATTATATAGAAAATAAAGTTAAAAATCATAAGATAATTTAAAAATAATACTACATTTTAAGCTGTAACTTAAAAAAACATAACTATACAGCCACTCTGACTTATCAAATGATTGTATTACACAGAAATTTATGTAAATTCAATTTTTCCTAAATGCTTTTGCATACTGAATTTAAGTGAAAAAAAAAATGTTCAACAAACATGTAAATATAATTATTTATTCAATTTTTTATCTCTTGCACAGTAAAAACGAAAAAGATATGCTTTGAAATGAATGATAAAAAGATTAAGACAAATGACAATACAAACACCTTATAATCAAAAATATTATGAAAAGCACAATGGCATTGGCAGAGTATTGTTCAAGATCCAGGGAGTGTAACTACAGTGGATTTTTTACTCTTGGGTTTCTAAGTTTGCACTGACCAACAAAAATTTACATAGCTCATATAATATTCAAACATTGCATTTGGTGACAAGTTCTAATATTAATTATTATAAATACAGAAATAACTTTTCTTATATATTTGAAATACTAAATACATTTGCTAGTCATGTTTAGCATATATTAAAATATAATTTAATATAAATGAAAATAGATTAACAATAGTCCAATTCTAAATAGACAATAGATAAAAGAGTCCTTTAAAGCATGCTATGAAAACATATTGGAAAAAGAGGATGTATGACCTTTATATGCCAAAGAAAAGAAGCAGATGGAAGGGCCAGTTCCTACGTTGACACTGACTTTATCCCATCCAGAGTATACCCTCTGAGTGCCAATTGAAAAGGAGAGTGGTGGAGTTTAAACTTGTATGGACCATAATAGATGGAAACCAGCAGTGAATAAATCATGACCAGCGAAATTAGTCATGATTCATTCACTCAATACTCCAGCACTCTATCAGTAGATCACCATGGTTTCTTTACACAGATGATGCTTTACTTAACTCTTAGATGTTTTCAAGAGAACAAGTTCTAATCCTTAAAAAATACCTCAGTAGATCAACAGAAAAAATATTCAAATTTAAAACCACATGATAGCCTAGTAAATAAATCTTATAAAAATAGTAATTTAATGATCAAGGTATGTTAATTTAATAAATTTCAATTAAAAATTACAAAGAAAAATGATCATTTTTGTAATAACGATAAGTCAAATTCCACGATTAAATGCTTCAACGCAGCTTTAAACTTTTTAAATTCAAGTAAATGTTTCAATCTTTTTTCATTACATGGCTCATTTAAAAGTTTTTTATGTATAAAATTAATAAAACTTTAATTATTTTTAGTTTTTAATTGTAACTGTTTATTAATTAAATCCAAGACATATTTTGACCTCCAATAATATAATTTATATAAATACAGTAATGTGTGTAATGCTCATTTGATCTAATAAATTACCATACAGATCTTTGATGTTTATACATTTACAAAGCATATAATTTAGGATTCTGGCATAGAAATATTCTATTTACAGGGAAATATGGATGTGAGTATAGGAATAAAAAAAGAGGATAGTAGACTGCAGTTTTGGAGTGTCATTACAATAATACTCCAAAACTGCTTAGTGAAGTTTAGTAGAGGGGACAATGGCAAAAAAAAGGATACTTCAATGGAAATTGTGTTATCAGGATTGGTTGCTAACAGCAATGATAATAATTATAGAAAAGATATAAACTATTTATCAAAATCGATATTCCATGTTATTGATTTTATGGTTGTAGATCATGTTTTATACAATACAGGTATACCTCGCCTTACATCGATAATTGGTTCCAGGAGAGGCGATTTAAGTAGAAAAATGACATAAGTCGAATTTACTTGTCACTAGGCTAAACCACAAATAACAATTCCCAGTTCTGTATTTTATTTATAAATGCATTTTTAATAATATATGATTAATAAGAATCTATTTTAAGCTTACAAACAAATAAATTTTAGTTTTTAATATAGTACAGGAAAAAAGTAATCTAAATTTACAAATACATGTATGGTATGCGCTGTACATACTTGTAAATATGCATGTTTACAATTTAGCAATGTTTACAGTACATCACAGACTCTTTATTTGGAATGTGGTTTGCTCTAAGATATTATAAAATAAGATGATTTTGTAAGGTTAATAACAAATAGTTATTAAAATTATTTTGTGATAGTAAAAAATAATTTATGTTAAATTTACTAATAACGAGTGGCGCTGATGATGACAACAAACAGTAGATATTGGAACTACTGTGGAAGATGCCAATATTGAGCTCTTAAAGACCGCTAAATAAGACAACAACACAGTGTTATAGATGTTTTCATATTTCGTTCTCTATGATTTATAATGATTATATTAACATTTACTGTAAATGTATTTTAATATGATTTTATGTGCTTTTAACACTTTTCTAATAATATTACGATTTCAATATCTGTGGAGGAAAGACATAAAGTTGAATAAAATAACTTAAACTTGATTTTTATTTTTCCATATATTTTTTTGACAAACGACACACAATCGAGAATGACATAACTTGAGGTATACCTGTATTGTAAAGGTGAGAGGTAGTGGAAATAATGGTTTTAATAGTGCAATGTATTGGTTAAACTAGTTAAAAAAGATTGTAAATCAAAACTGTGGAGGCAACATTGTTTTGTTGTCAAAATGCCTGAGTTTTAATTGTTGAATAAACATTGCCTAGTATGTGATAAGTGTTGCCGGTTGGGTTTATGAAACAAAAGTTTGATTAAACTAAAATATAGACAACAGACATTGACATTGAATATTTGGTATATATAAGTACTCCACCAAATTTCTGGCAATTGATGCTTTGGTGCCTCCTTTAATCTGGACAAAATTACAAGAGGAAACTTGAAATTCCTATGGCCACCAGACTAGTTTACTGGGCCACTACAAATGGCATTGTATAGGGCTCACTTATTTACACTTATTAATATGATATTGATATGATATTGCAATTTTGTGATAGTCAATTAATATAATCATACAATAAATAAATATTATTTTTAGTTTATTTTGCTTAAATTTAACCTTAGCTATGAGAGTATCAGTGATGGTGTCAAATGTAATTTACATACATTTAATATTTAATTTAAGTTTCTAGCTGTCCATGGTATACTTTATACACATGGGAGATACAATTAGTGAACTAGAAATTTGTTGATAAACTATTATTATGGCAAAATGATTAATCCAGCAAAGCTTTGGAACCAAGAGTACCAAAAATTTGGTGGTGTACCTGTATGTATTTCAATAAAATATGAATGTTTAGAATAAATCCAATTTTTTAAAAGTTTAAATGTAATATTAAATACAAAATTTATCATGCAGTAGATTCTGCTTAATTAGACCATAAATTAATTGGGGTAATATTTATTTGGACCAAAATGCAGAGAATGGAAACAAATCAATGTATTTAATGTAAATTTGTAGGCTCGAATGACAAACTATAGATAGTATACCTCTAGTTATATTGCAATTATGTCAATTAATACAAGTTGTGCTATAGTATGAGTTTAAAGTCAAAAAATGTCATTCTACAGATATTCTTCTTGAATTTGCTAAACCTAAGAGTTAGAACAGAACAAGAGACAAAGTGATTTTGATATCTGCTTGATCTGTCCATTTTACCCAAGGCAGTTTGAACACTGTAGGAGTTACCTGCAAGAAACTGTGGCATGCAGCTAAGTAAGCAAACAAATGGCATAATCTGGTTCATATGTAATGGATTGTACCATTGGTTTTCTTACTTGGCTGCTTGCCACCTAAATGTACTCCTAGTGAAAAACTCAATGTTGCCAAGTTGGGCTATAGTCAGTTTAGGCTATTGAAAAATTTAAAATACTACATCTTTTATGATTTAGCTTTTTATTATTTTTTGGGTTATACAATCCTATATTTGGCAAGTAATGAAATTTTTACATTTGTTTATCATCACTTATTTAAAACTTTGAATACAACCACATTACATCTTGTTGCAGGCAAGAAACATTGTGTTCTCTCCTTGTGCTTGCACATGTTAGATTGTGACTTCTGATGATTTGTAAGGATGGTAATAAAAATAAACAATCTGTCTTTAATTTATATTTCAGTAATTGTCTCTTCTTGTTTTATTCATTATTATATTTGTTTATTAGATTGCCATGGAAAAATTGCTTTTGTGTTTGGTTTATTGGAATAATATCTGCATAATTGGACCAAATGATCTATTCCCAATTAAGTAAAATCAATTGTATTAATTAAAATATTACATAAAAGTCTTAAAAAATAAATTGAAAAATATTGAAAAATAAAAAAAAAGACAAAAAATATATACTTTAGAAGATGATCTAGTATCAAAAATGTTCGATTCAGCACGACACACAGTCCTCAGAAAAACACCAGACAAAAGTGCCAGTGCTGCCAGCTAAAAAACACACACCAACAAAAAAAATATTTGAGTAGCCCAAGATATAGCCAAAGATTGCAGCGCCACAGCACTAGCGAAAATTTAAATTTGCTGACTGGAATGCTTTTGGATAAACAACGCTCTACTGTANCCATGGAAAAATTGCTTTTGTGTTTGGTTTATTGGAATAATATCTGCATAATTGGACCAAATGATCTATTCCCAATTAAGTAAAATCAATTGTATTAATTAAAATATTACATAAAAGTCTTAAAAAATAAATTGAAAAATATTAACCTGTTATATCAATTTGTCCACATTTGTCATTATTTAAAATGGAAGTAAATTGCTTTTTATCAGTTGTGTCATTTTTTTCAATGGAATCTAAATCAGTTTGCAATTTCTTTGTATCAACTGTATTTGAAATATCTTCAGTAGAACTCTTATTTTCAGATAATACAGTAGAACTTTTAAAATCAACCAAAGAATTAAAAACTTTATCAATACAATGTAACATTATCATCAATTGCTTCTTTAATTTGGTTTTATTTTCCTTCTTGGCATTTTGATCATCAGTAGATATTATACAGTCAACTGAAAAATATTAAATTAGCATTTAGATATTAATAATTAATATATAATATTGTAAAATATTTTATAAATTAATGTGTCTTTTGTATATATACGAAGGCTATTTTTTAAATAAGGTCTGTTTTTTAATAAGAAGAAGAATACTGTAAAAATCATTAAAATATATTTTTTCCCATATTCTACATACTTTTATCTACTTTTCTACATAATTTCCATTTTTGTTCAAACATTTGTCATACCGCTCAACAATTTTTTAAATTCCAACTTCAAAGAAATCTGCCACATGTGAAAAAGCTGAATTCATGACTGCAGTTTTCACTTCTTCACGTTGTTGAACCATTGACCACCAAAAAACACCTTTAAGTATCGAAACAAGTGAAAATCACTGGGTGCAAAGTTTGGACTGTAAGGTGGATGATCCAGTTATTCTCATCCAAAAGAACTGATTAGACCTTGTGTTTGTGCAGAAATATGTGGCCTTGCATTGTCATGGAGCTACAGGAAGACAGTAGATCACACTGCTTGTTTTGTTGGCACACCAGAATTTTCTCAAGGTCACACAATATGCATCAGAATTGATTATTGTGTCTCAGCATAAAATCCACTAACAAAATCCCTTTCCTGTCCCAAAAGACAGTTGCCATAATTTTCCATGCTGAAATGGACTGTTTGGCTTTCACTTTGGTTGGTGAAGATGTGTGTCGCCATTCCATTGACTGTTGCTTGGACTCAGGTGTCATGTGAGACACCCAAGTCTCATCTCCTTCCTGATCATAACAAGTCAAAAACGATAAAGCACTGCCCAATCTTTTTGTTTTGTGATAGTTCAGAAAGCAGTCTTGGAACCCACTGAGAACACAATTTTCGATAATTCAGTTTTTCTGATACAAAACTGATCTTGAAACCTGTGGAAATTCAATTGGTAACACTGAAATCGTGAATCGTCGATCCTCATCACAAACCAAATCTTCAGAAATCAGAGGAGGTCAGCCAGGGCCTGGCTCATCATGCACATTAACCCGCCCGTCCTTGAACATTCTCACCCACTTTCAAACTTTGCTGTACTCATAGCATTATCACTGTAAACAAATCTGACAGTGAATTTCCACCGCTGCCAAGTTTCTTGCACCAAGAATTGAATAACAGATCGTATCTCACAGTCAGCAGGTGAGTCAATTTTCTTAAACATTGTAAACTTTTACAGTTCAGCATACAGACAGATGATATGGCTACAAATGGTGTCTAAACATGCACAAAGCATGCTCGGAGCAGACGCACGTATGCACTGCTGCAATCATACGTCATTGTCACTCTCATTCACAAATGGACCTTATTTAAAAAATAGCCCTCATACATATTATATTCATTAAAATAAAATTTCAATAATCAGTCACTAAAATTTAAATAAATGTATAATTTTATTTTAAATAAAATTAAAAAACAAATCTTAAAAATAATAAACTCAAAAAAAATTTAACATACTTATAATAAAATTCTCCACTTTTACTACTTTTAATACAATTTGCAAATTTATGACTTTATAAAACTGAATTTTAAAATACAAACATCTTATGCTAATAATTTAAATTTATAATACAATTACTATATTCATAGAATAATTTTAAAGATTTAAAATTACTTATTTTTAATTCTTCAATAGTTTTCAATAAAGATTTTTGTTGATCTTCAGATGATGTTAAAGAGTCATAATTAAAAGAAATTATGCAAACAAAAAATTTCAAAGATGCTGAAACATATTTAATATCTGCAAAAACACTCTCACAGTCTAAGAATTTACTACATTCCTTTTCAATCTGTATTCCTAAATATTTATAAAGATAAATTAATCACAAAATTAAAAACTTTGATAAACAACATTTTTAACAGAATAGATAACAATTTTAAAAATTTTAATCTAATTTACAAACATTTTTAATCAAATTAGTGCAATAAATTATGAAATAAATATATTTATTTTCATCATTGTAAAAACACAAATATATAGTTTCCAGGTGTCATTGTGTAACACTATATCAATGTTAGCATATGGTGTTGGCTTCTATTATAAGCAGCTATTATTAGAAATTAGATGTTTTAAATGTTTCTGGCAAATATTTTTATTGTACTAGTTATCATTTTATCATCATCATTAATAAAATTTGTCTATAAAAATAAAAAATATATATACATAATTAGATAGCATAATAATGCTATATAATAATTCTAAAAAAAATAATTGTTATATAAAAATATTTTATGACTTTTTATCTATTGATTATCATTTTCTGTAATGTTAGGCTCCTGACTCCTGACTCTAAACTCCTGACACCAATTTGTGGGTAGCCTGAGGTAGGATGAAGTCGTACCTCTTTTTGATAGGCAACAGTTCGGTGAGAACTGCCCACTGGTCAGTGGATGGCTTAGGAATTGCTTCTTCTATCCCGTAAAGTCGGGATTCTTTTGTCAGGTCGAGTGGAGGAGATGAGAGGAGTCGTCGGTAAAGGGTGAGCGATACTCGAAATAAAGACGACTTTTAACAACAAAACAACATTTATTGAGACGATAACATAACTAACATAAATACATTGAGCTTATCTCGAGCGGACATGCGGGAGTGGAGGAAAACATGCCGAGAGAGAGTGTACATTAATGGGTATCATACCTCTACGATTTCGGATCGGACGGTCGGACGTTTTCTAACCGGATCGGACAAGTTGTCTTGAGGAACGGACGGCGGCGATGAGGATCGGCACGGGGTTTCCCCGATCATGAACGGTAATGACGGACCGCGTTCACGGACAGCGACGACAGACCCCTTTTTCTCGTCGTCACCCCTCTTTTATCCCTCTCGTCACATTACTGGGTTTCACCAATCAGCGATTTTTAGGATAAGTTCCTCATGAATCATTTTTCGGTTTCCTGAGAGATAGGAAACGGCTCCGTGGGAAGGAAATGTATATATCCTTTTTTGCAAAATTTCGAAAAATGAAGTTTTTCTTTGTTTAACTTTAATAAAGATATTTAATTTAATTGGAGCTCCATAATTTAATTTTATTTTATTCGGTCCGACCCTCACACAAGTGTTAATTATATGATGGCACTTTTTAGTGGCTTAGAAAGTTCAGAGAGGAAATGTTAATTATATTCAACCAAGATTTCTATTTGTGAATGTTATTTTATCACAGTTGATAGCAAGTCTTTCCATGTTAACTTAATATAACTTATTTTCTTTAATTTAGTTAGTTCTTATTTTGTTTATACTTATTTTATTTCATTTTAAAATAAACTTTACTTTTTTGGTGTACTATGCACAATGAAACTTCTAATAAATGGAAACATAACTGGATGGCCAAGCAGTTAAACTGCCAGACTACCAATCTGGCAACCAGGGAATAAATCTAGATGGCTTGAAAAATCTCAGAAATTTTCAGGTGTTAGTCCATACCAGATGTATTGCTATATCTCATCCCTCACTACCCAGCCATCCCATTGTGAGTCTGGATGAACCCACAATGGACTTGATTAAAAGGCTCTCTTAGTACCTACAAGGCAAAAAGAGCTTTAAAAAAATAAATGGAAACAACTAAATTTTTTTTGTAAATATAGCAAAATAAGTAGGTAAACTTTACAAGTAGGATGCATCTATGTCCTTAATTTAATCAAAATTACTCTTTCAATCACTATATCAGTGTATTTCTATTAATAGAGATAAAGAAAAAACAATTATAAATAAAGCTAATGAAATAAAAGAAAATATCAAATTTGAATTAGAAAAAGAAAACCAAAACAGTATTAATTATTTAGATATAACAATTATAAGAAAAGAAGATAAACTGATTTACAAAAAATATGTAAAACCTATGCAGATTCCAAAAACAATTAATTATAAATCAATTATACCGATTAATATGAAATATAATATATTTAAAATGTATATCAATAAAATAAGACAACGAACAACTGAAATAGAAACACAGGAAAAAGAAGTAAATGATATTATCAAAATGTTTATCTTAAATGATTATCCGAAAACATTGTTAAATAAATGGGTTAAAAATATAGAAAACAATAAGCAATCAAAAAAATTAATAGATAAAGAGAAAAAATTTGTGAAAATAAGATATATCCCAAAAGTATTTGAAAGAGTCAAAAAATTATTAGATAAGAAAATTAATATAATACCAGAAAAAGTCAATACAACGAAGAAACATCTATGTTATAAAAACGGGGGGGAAGTGATATAATGGAAGAAAAAGGTGTAGTGTATTCGTTTAATTGCAATTGTAATCCAGAAAAAACATATATTGGAGAGACAAAAAGAAAATTAAAGATAAGATTAAAAGAACATATCAGAGCAATACGTGGAAATTATGCAAATTCTGCGGTAGCGGAACACTGCAATTCAACAGGATGTGAAATTATATTAAAATCAGTTAAAATAAGAAAAAAAGAAGAAAATAATTATAAACGACAATTATATGAACACATTAATATAATCAAACAAAACAATAGAATGAATAACAACAACGGAAGAGAAATACACCAATCATGGAGAGGAATGATAGCCACAAACAGGGAAGTGACGTATAAAGTGAATGAAAGAGACTGGCAAAGACAAAGTGAAAGGGAAGAAAGACAAAATGAAATGTAAGTTGGAAGTAGTTTTAAATGTACAAATATATAAAATAGTAAAGTTTATTGAAAAATGTCAACGTTTAAAGGAAAATGTCAGTGTTTAATGTAACAATTATTGGTTTTAATACAGGAGTGTTTTAAAAGTAATATTGATTGTGATTGTAATTGGAATGAATTATTGGAGGATAGACGGAATAGAAAGAAAGAACATTAAAATAGTAGGAATTTTATAATTTATTATCGTAGGTGTAAGAATTTATTGTGAGAAAATATTGTCGTTGAATTAAGTTTGTTTTGAATTTTATTTAGAATTGGTTTGTCAAATACCTGCTGAAGAGGGACGTACAAGTCCGAAACGCAAATTGTATGTGTCCAGGTAATTGAAAATAAAACAATTTTAATCTGTGTAACTGTGAGGCTGTAATCTTATACACAGTATGATAAGTCCTATTAATAGAAATACACTGATATAGTGATTGAAAGAGTAATTTTGGTTTACAAGTAGGACTTTGCAATAGAATTTTATATATGGTACATATTTGTAATTTCATAATATTAATTTATATTGTGAAAGAAAAATAAAATGATTTTCTTTAAAATATAAAAGTCTTCATAAATATTTTATAACAAGAGAAATAAAATTATGTTTTAATAGTTTATAAAAATTTATATATGTACACATTTTAAAAGCTTTTATTGTATATTGAATAACAATGACAACAAAGCATTAAGCGAAACAGTGTTAAATGAGGTCATTTTAACATAGAGTAAATAGGGATAGGAAACATGTGACCAAAAATCATGTTATATGTTAAACAACACATAAATATAAACATATCAAATATGTTAAATAACACATAAACATATGCACACAGAAATGTAAAGTTCATTTTTTGTGATGAAGGTCCTGACTTTTCTGAAATTCTTGTTCTTTTGCAATAAAGTTGTAAAGTTTCATTTGTCACTTTTTTCTTTCCTTAAGCAAATGTCAGTAGCAGAAGATCGCATCCAAAATGCCTCGTTTTGCTTTTGCACTCCTTTCAAAATCTGGATCATTTGTTACAATTTGATCAGTGATTTCGGTTATCTTACCAAACTTTTACTAAGGAAATCTGTTGATAAATTTTTTGGGTTCTTCGTTTTCAGAATCTCTATTTTCCAGTTTCACATGAATTCCATGTTCTGCCAGTTCTTGAAGGTCATCGTTATGGTCATCGTTGGTAAGGCTCTCACCAGAAATGTAACTCCTCAATATCCTGCTTGTCTATATATCCTAGTCCTGCTATATTGATTAGGTTGAGTTTGGTCAACTTAACAATATAGCAATAAGCTCTTCTTGTTGAGAATTCTTGGATACCTTCAGCCATAACTTCTTTCACAGTTCATTTGTGCATTTATCAATTGATTCTTGCCAAGCAAAGTCGATATTTCCTATGGCATCCGTGATGATATACTTTTTCCAAAATTGAACCAAACAAACATAGATTTAAAGAAATACACCTTTTTCTGATTGGTTCATGTTCGTAAATAATTGTATATGTACGAATCAACGAAATGCCACAATAATTTAAATAAGCATAAATTTTGAGCAGATCACATTATATTGAATCAGCATTAAGCAAGGTCTTACTGTATTTCAATTAATACACTACTTTAAAGTCAAAAAGTGATCATTGCATATGAACATATGGGATATGACAGTGACAGAAAAGGGGTTAAACTATTCAAGGTAAGAAAACATATGCCAAGTCTTTGAACTTTTGGTATGCACTATGTATATTCCATCATATATGACAGGTAATCAACTAGTGAAAAATATTTATGTATTATAGTGAAGCAAAAATGATTATAATTAAATGTTATAATGTAAACTTGTTTAAACTGATATGTATAAGAATTGTTATTTAATATACAATAAAAGCTTTTAAAATGTGTACATATATACATTTTTATAAAGTATTAAAACATAATTTTATTTCTCTTGTTATAAAATATTTAATTATGAAGACTTTTATATTTTAAAGAAAATATTTATTTCTCTTTCACAATATAAATTAATGTTATGAAATTACAACTATGAATTTTTGTACTATTTGAATGCCATAAAAGAACTGTAATAGTTAACAAGCAATTATTTATTGTGCCATCATCATGCTGGACTGCAATTGTTAATGATATTTTAATTTAAAAATAAGCTTTCCTTATCTAGTCTTAATTTTCATGTATCTGATTCTGTTCTCAAGAAACATTTAAATTACAATCACATGACTTCCAATACAGACCAGAAGGTCATATACAGTTAATTGGGGTCTCCAGTTCCAAAGATTTCTATATATGGTCTCAATTTTTATCTATCTAACTCCATTCTCAACATTAACAAAGGACGAATGGCCAGACAAACAACAGATGGATGACACTGGGAATGTACAGTACATATCCGCAATTTGAAAATTGCAGTCCAATAAGATGTTTGTAATAATATATCAATACTAATTATTGTTTAATTGGTCCCAATATTTCTACTTTATCAATAATTACTTAATAACTTAATAACGCAATGTTTAAAAACTTAAATATGCTTAAAAATCGATATTTATTTTTTTTAAATAAATAAAAATTAAAAAATCATATTAAATACATATATTGTAATTTAAATGAAAAATCAATTTATAGAAATAAATAAAAACAATTATCCATAATTACATTCTAAATCAAATGTAGGAATAAAACTATGTTTTTTTCTTATAAAACTGATTTATTTTTATAAAATAAAAGATAAATAGGAAGAATAAACTTCTAATAAGTTTATTCTTCCTATATGTTCTGAAGATATTTGAAAATTAAAACATTTTTGAAATAAATGAAATAAAAAATTCATTTTCTCAAGTTTTATAATCTTTTATACATTTAATTCAAATAAAATTTTGGAAGCATTTGAATTCAATTTTATTTTTCACTTTTGCAACTGTTATATATAACAGAAGGAAAATATGATAATTGGCTCCACAAGATTTTAATATTTTTGGACTTGGGACTTTGAAATGTCAAGAAATACAAAAAAATTTAGAGTATTTTTTCTATATGTATGGATGTTTGTGTTGAAAAATTCTGATATTTTGCAGGGAGGTTTATATTAGAGAAATCACTACTATCAATTTTTGGTGGTGAAAGGTCAAGAGGTATGAAACTAGAAGGGGTTTACATGTCATATCTTAGGTGTGATTGGAATTAATGAAAATTTTACTCATTATTAGCATTTACAATCTATATATATAAAAATGAATGTATGTCTGTGTGTCCTTCATGCATTACCACACCGTTTATCCGATTGCCGTGAAACTTTGGGAAGTTGTTTAATATACTCCGGGGAAGGTTTGTGGCATAATACGATTGCCATAAAACTTCGGAAAGTTTTTAAATTTTTTAATACACTCCCGTGAAGTACGTTTACCCTACGATAGATGGCGCGCATTTACATGAGCATTTGCGCACAGTATGTTTGATCGATTTCAAATTGTGAAGACCATTTCCCCCTTCAAAAAATATCTCTATATATGCATTTGTGAACTGTAATTATGATATTTATAATAATTTTTGTTTAATCACTTTATTTCAACTTTTTTTTGCTAATTATGTATTCGCTTGAACTTCGTTAAAACCTTAACTGTACCCCGAACAACAACCGAAGTTGTAGGAGGAAATTCACGTATTTTACTGATCTAGGTATTCCCCTTTTTCAAATTTTAATATTGACTCGAAATAATAATGTAATAGTAATAAGTTTTAATAAAAATTATAAATTGTAAATTGAATTTTGTCATAACGAGTTTGCTTAAATTTCGTTTCTTCTGAGATCGCAGCAATGCGCGACGGGTAAGCTAGTTTTTTATAAAACTCATCTTTAACCTCAAAATTAAGATTTTTACTATGTTATAACAATTAATAACAAATGGCATCATATACAATTCTAAAATTTTTCTGGGGAAGTTATCAACTCATTGCTGTTTTTTTTTGTTATCATAACTACAGAAAATAATAGAATGTTATATTCTTAATACAGTTTTTATATAACTTAGAATATGATATTAAAAAAAAATGAATAAAAGAATATTTTTTTTTTCTATTTAGAAAAATGAAATAATTAAAGATATTTTATTCCACAAGCAATAAAAAACTGAAAAATATTTATTTTAAAAAGTAAATATCTCATTTAAACATTAATTTACATAACCATTTCATGAAATATTAACTTGAAAGAAATAAAAATTGTTAATCTTAATTACTATGAAAATATTAAAGTTATTTAAAGTTATAATCAAAAATTTATTAAAGCAATATGAAATTTAAATGCATGCATCTTATCCTTCATTACTTATGTATTATGTCTTTGTCCACTATGTACATTCTTGTGAACTAGGACTTGTTATACTAAGGGAAGTGAATCACACAATTTCTAGGTAAAACACTTTTACTGTAACATAAACCTGTATACCACTACATTTCAACATTTTGAGCCAATTCAGGGGCTTTGGCCCAAAATGCTGAAATGTAGTAGCATATAGTATTATCACAAGAATGTCCAAAGTGGACAAAGAGGCAGTATGAAATTGTCAGTTACAAAGAAAAATATTTTTCAAAAGATACTTAAAAACTACTTACTCAAAATTCTGAGAAATGCTGTTGCATCAGCAATTTTTATTATATTATAAATTAGTTCATTAATGAAATAGTTCCATTCTTTTTTGATAAACTTTAATTGATACATGTTTTCTCTACTCTGGTCATGATAAAATGCTTTTACAACAGGAATTATTTCAGGATCTAAATTTTCCAAACGGTCAACTATAATGAGAATCCTGTAAACAGCTGAAATTATTGAAAAATACATTAATTAATTGTGTTGGCTAAAAAAAAATGATATAAAAGTTATAAGTCATTAATATTTGTGAATTTTCAATGTTTGCAATGTAATATCTGTATAAGAAATATTTATACCATATAAAAATAATTGTGCATTGAAATGGAATAATATAAATAAAAAAATAAGCAACAAACATAGTCCATTTTCTTATTATTATTATTCTACTTACTAAAAAAATCAGTTGAGCATGAAATAGCAAATCTACAGATTTGATAGAGGAGATCAGCTTGTTCATAAAAATCTTTGAACAGTAAATCTAAATTAACATCTGTTGTTTCTTTATTCTATGAGTGAATAAATAATTAGATAAATTTGTAACAATATATCAAAATAATCATCTAAAAATATATTTATTTAAATTATTTACTTTCAATTTAAAGATAAAATCCATATTTGATTCGAAAAGTGTTTGCATTCTTGGAAATTTGTTTCCTATTAACTTCAATATTTCTATGTTGAGTTGTCTTTCCAAGCAATCTATATCATCCAATAAAACTTCACTTTCTAAAATCAAAGCTTGTCTGTGAAAAATTAATCCTTAACACATCAATTAACAAAATTTATATTTCATATGAAAATATATATTTATTATAAATACAGTTTGTTATATATGTTTAATCTTACTTCAATTTTTGATCATTATTATTATTTTCCAATTTTTTTTCAACATTCATACAGATATTGTATTGTTGTAATACCTAAAATTTGAAGATAAACTGTTTTAGCATTCTAACAATACTTGTATAATTTTAAAATGTTTAAGTCATAAAAATAAAGTTAAAATTGAATTTATAAGAAAGAAAAATTGATACTCTACAACAGTTGTAAATCTTTTTCTCTTTGCTTGAATTACATTAAAAATTTAGTTGTTTTTACAAACTATAATCAAATATATTTAATTCAATCACTAAAAAAAATTTTGACTTTTGAATTATCAATTTTCAAAAATTAAACTACTTTCTGAAGTTTCTAAGGTGTTTTAGCATTTCATATGTTTTAGTGACATTTTCTATTTACTTTCTTTACCACTTATTTAACGTTCATCTTTTTTTCAGCTAGAAATAACCTTGTATATATTCCTTACTTAGACACTATTAAAAAAATAGCTGAACAATTCCATTATCTAAAATCTCTAATATTTTCAAAACTGAAATATTTGACAAATTTTGCCAACATCTTTGGAGTTTACAGAACATGTTTTTTTGGAAATCCCATAAAAAATACTTATTCTACAAATTAATTAACATTTTACTCTTTTAAGTTTCCTTTTAAAAACAAGAATTATGTTAGGTTTGAATTATCCAAATTTATACTGAAAAAAATTTGAATTAATTGTATTTTAAAATACTACTCCAATTTAAATAGGAATTCTAATGGGATTAGTAATAGATTAAATTTAGCCAATTTGAAATAATCAGATTTGACTACATTAGGTTTTAATTAATTAAAAAATTTTTCATGCTATCTAAAATTTAAATAAATTTATATAATATGAAGATTAACCTTATGGCACAAATCCTTCATAGAGTTTTCCTTACTAATTATAAAATGTGAAACTGCCATGCTATGTTGTAATATTTCTTCTAATAATTGTTCCAGTTTTCCATTCTGTATCTTTAGACATACTTTTGATGATAGCTGACAAAGCAACTATTATAAAAAGAAAATTAGTAATTATTTAAATACTATATTAAACTAATTAAAATTAGTAATATTACCTCATCAATCTTATTGACAAAATATCCCATATCTTTGCAGTTCTCTTCAATTAAATTTTCATTTTTGTTAAACTGTATTATTTTCTCAATATAAAAATTCATTTCAGCAATAATATAATTCCAAATGGATAATTTCTTTAAAATATCAAATTATAATTATATTAAAATTTTTGCTTACAATTAAAATAAATTAAATGTAAAATATTTAAATTAAAAATTATTGTATTTTTATTTTATTTGTTTTAATAAAATATATATTGATTTTATAACTATATAAACATTTTTACTCAAATTGATCAACAATAAGACTTTTAATTTGCTATTTTCCTTACTTTTTGATAGGTGTATTCATAATTCTCTTATCTATTTCTGTTGCCAATTTTAGAATTGGGTTATCCATTGGTAAATTACGCTCTAACCTAATACTAATATATTTATAATATATTCAGGTACCTGGATGTTTGCTTTATTAATTACTACATTTTTAATCCATGAACGTTTTTCTTTAGGATGAGGATATGAAAATAATTTATGCAGCTTTAACAATTTTTTATATCTATTACAGCTACATCTTTAAAAAAGTTTTTTTATATGAGGATATTTTTTAATAATTTTCTTACTTTGATACTTGAGGTTGTTATACCTTTTTTGTTTAAATTATATAACAGTTTTGATTATCAGCCTTTCATAGAAAATCTGATCATTTTTACTCAAAGTTTTTTTAGCAAGAAAAAAAGAAATAACAAATTATCTTATTAAAATGAGTTAATATGTATTTAATACACTCTCCAACTTTTGAACACAATGAATTCCTAAAAATGTGTAAGAAAGTCAAATGTCTAAAAGCTGGAGAATAGAGTTGCATTGTATAAGGGGCATTCCATTTCTACAAAGCTAAAAAGAAAAATTATAAAATATCTCATTAGAGTAAGAAAGTTTTAGTTTTCACTGTGAATATGTTGAAAAAAAATTTACAGTAAAAACTAAAACTGTTTAACCTATGGTTTTAAATAATACTTATGTAAAACATAAAAACCACAGATTAAACAGAAAAGACAATACAAATTAAGTATCATATGTGATTTTGATGCTTGCCAGAAATTATTAATACATTACCAAAAACAAAACTGATAGAAAGCACTACTGAAAAATAACTTGAAATTTTTGTATTTCAGCTGAAAATATACAAAAGCAAAAATCTGATATATGAAAAGCAATTTCAGAGTACCAAAGTATTGTATATAAAAGAGCAAGTTGTCCAAAAGTGCCTATATACATATTTCATTTCAGGAAGCATGTAATACATTCATGTACCATGATAAATATATGTAAGTGTTACATGATTGCTGAATTTAATCTTTTCCCAATATTCTAAAACTGCTTTAAGCATAAAAAATTTGTTTGCACTTAAGTATGAATTTTTTAATTAATAGTAGCAATTAATTATAAAATTTGTGTTTATTTGAAATCTATTATCAACTTGTAAAATTTATTTAACTAGTTATAATAATAATATAATAATACAGCTGTCTCTTGATAATCCGACAGGTATGGGACCAAAGGGGTGTCAGATTACCAAAAGTGTCTGGATTACCAAAAGTGATTACATATTTGGCATTGTTTTGCTAGCAATAGCCTACAATATTCCCTACTCCAACTGTTTGAACAGAACTGCTCACAGAAAACACACGAAATATGTGTCATCGTGTAAAATTAGAGGGGGAGATTCATGTCACAACATGCTTCTGTGCAAGCAGACACATAACGGGGACGGGTACTTTGACGGGAGGTGCGTCGGACTACTGAGCATGTCAGATTACAAAACGTCGGACTATCAAGGGACAGCTGTATTAGCATATTACATTATTATTAAATTAATAAATACAAATTTTAAAAATTTAAATTTTATTGTTTAAAAATAAAAGACATTTAAATACATGTAAAATTTATTTTCTAAATAAGTTTAGAAACATATTTACCTTTAATTGTGTTAAATTAGAATATGTCATAAACTGCACTTCATGCAATAAAATAAACAATCTCTTGAATTCAGTTAAAGCTACAATCAGTTTATATTTTCTTTCATTATTTATCATATCTTCCAATTGTTTTTGAACAACGGAAATAAATTCTTGAATACAAAGCAGTAATTCCTAATATAAAAAATTAATTTTAGTTGCATTTATTTCTATTTTAGAATTAACATCTGTAATAGAATTAAAATATAAAGCATACCTTATATTTTCTATTGTAATGAGGTGTACCAAAATTTGTCTTCAATGAAGATAAAGTTAAACTGAGATCTGAACAAATATTCTCCAGAATCTTTTCATCAATATTTTGTACAGTTACTAAAAACTAAACGTATTGAAAGATAAGTTATTTGAATATTTTATAAAATTTAATATATTTGAAATTCAATAATCTTTATTTGCAACTAAATGAATGAATTTGATAAAATTGATAACATACATTATATTTAAAATATAAAAATTATGTATAATAATTATAATATGTTGCTAAACATAATATTGTAAAATGAAAATAATGGTAATTTCAAAAATTCATAAGGTTCACAATGTCCAATTATTTTAAATTTCAATTTTCTATTTTCAAAAATATTGCATAAATCAAAATTTTAATGTACAGTACACTCTTAATTAAATAAAAAACAACTACTTTAATAATTGTTTTAGTAAAAATTGCAAAACGTACAAAAAAATAAAAACATAAAGCAAAGATTTTTATTATTGTTTTTTGTAATAAGTCGATTAGTTTTAATTAAACTATTTCATCTGTGAAGAAAACAAATTACATTAAAGAATACATCTAAAAATGTACAAGCCACAAAATTTCGATAAATATAATATTATTAAATTTTAATTATATTGACATTATCTAAGTGTTTTTCAGCTAGGAAAATGTAAACTAGTCAGTTGAAGTAAGTAAAATATTTGCATATTATAGAGTTAAACTGTACTTTCAATTTAATAATACTATGGATTTCCTTATTAATTCAGAAAACCATGACATTATTAAATAGAAAATTTTAAATTGTAATGCTTACAATAAAAAAAAAAACCATTAAATTGATGTATCATTTCAAAAATTATTTTATATATCATCATTAAAAAAATATTCAAATTACTGTAACTTAAATTTTATTTTTGATGGCAACATAACATTTAACATCAATTTAAACTAATTAAAAATTGTACAGTGGTGCCCTGTACTTCAAATTTAATTCATTCCAGGAAGCCATTCAAACTCTAAATTGTTCAAAGTCCAAATCAATTTTCCTCATTAAAAATAATGAAAAATGAATTAATACAGTCCCAGATCCTAAACAATACCCATTTTAATAATAATAAATGACACTTTTAGCCCACAACTTTAATTTAGATAGAGTTAGATAGCCTAATAAATAGGATTTTAACAATTTGGACTGCTTATCACACCAAGGCCGACTGAAAAATAGACCAAATCTTTTACAAAAATATTTAGTCTAATAATCACCTTAAAATTTAGGAAAGAATGCATTTCAAGTACAAGGATCCCTCATCAGCTTACAAACACATAGTACCAACTTAGCAAACATATAATTATAACACTAATAGTTAACCAATACAAACGACTTTTTGATACATACAGTGCATTGTATTTACAATATTTAATACAACCCATATACTAAAGAACTAAAAAATATCGAGCATAAAATTTTTTATATAATAATGTGATATATCGCATTATTTGGGACCAGTAAATGTCTTATTTTCTCTTACATTTTCCAAATTCTGGTAGACGGTTCCACCATTAATAATAAAATATTGTTAAGTACGTATATTAAAAACCAAAAACGGAGGGAAACTAACAATGAACTTACTATTATTAAAATAATTGGTTTTCAGACCTTAAACAAAACAAATACACCAAATCCATAAGACTGTGTGAAGCTAACTGCTTTATTACAATTCATTTTACAATGTGATATGACTTTACTCCCACATCTGTTTCAAAGTTATGTAAAAACAATGTCATTCTACCACTCATGTAGCTTCAGTCCCATGTTGTTATTAATTCTAATGTCTTCCTGTATTTTCAGAATTTCTATGTATTCCTGTAGTCTTCTTTTTTAATTGATTGTTTTTTTGTCAGAATACACTTGACACTATCTTTTAAAATTTCATAACCTTTGATATTGCAATATTGTGCCACTGATGATGATATTAAATTGTTTTTGATGGCATATATATGTTCTTTAATTCTTGTCTTTAATTTTCTTCTGGTTTCACCACTGTATCTTTTTTTATGTGAACAACTATAATCCAATGAATAAACTACATTATCTTTTTCTAAATCATTATGTTCATTATTTTTATATTTGTATGGTTTGGTACTAAAATAATATCTAAATTTTTAAATTTTTTTTTTAATTTTTCAAAAACACTGAAAACATATTCTATTTTAAGGTACAATGTCTGAACAACTCCCAGTTGGCTATTTAATGTGACATTTTCACTTTTCCTTTTACTTGTTTCTAATCACTTTAACAATAATGTTCTAGGATAATTATTTAAGTTAACATTCTTACTATATTTTCTATTTCCATTTCTTGATCATTTTGCATGATCGTTTTCTCTTTAATTTTGTTGACATACATCTGAAAGGTGTTTTTTTTTTTATATATAAAGGTATATTAGATTTGAAGTCTATAACTTTACTAGTAACACATTCTATAACATACTTTTTAAATAATAATTTACTATTTAATCTAACTATATTAAGTTCTAAAAAATTCAGATTATTATCTACTTTTCCACATTGGAATTGAACATTTTTATTTATCAATTTCCTTAACGAAAGAGTCAATATCTATTATGCTTTTATCGTAGATGATGAAACAGTCATCTACATATCTTTGATAATTTATTATACCTTTGGTTTTATTTATTTCTTTGTCAATCATGATCATGCACAACTCTGCCAATCTAGGGCCTATGCAGGATCCCATTGGTATAAATTCTGATTGTCGGTAATATTTACCTTGAAATTCAAAAAAGTTGTTATTTAATACCAATTTTACTAATTGTTTAACCCAATCTGGGCTCTTCACGTAGGACAATGAATTTAAAATTAATTCTAAATTTATTGAGGGATATATATTGTTAACATCCAGTGATGCCATCCTATAGTTTTCCTTCATAACAATAGCTTTCATGTTTTTTTTAAGAATTGGTCGGTGTTTGTAATAATATACTCAGATACAGGTAATTTATTTAACTCTGTTTTTTTGCTATTTTGAGATTATACAGTAAATATTTTCAAATATCTATCAAAGGACGATATGGAACAGGATGTTTGTGTGTTTTCACTCTAAAACTTATTTTTGGAACTCTATTACCAAAGCATTTAATATCTTTAGCAGGTTTTTTTTTTGTGGTTTTAGGCCTCTTACCACTCAGGGAGCACAAAGAGGCCAAAGCAAAGAGGCTTTTAGCAGTGTTATTATCTATGTAATTAAGTTTTGAAAAATTATTTATAAGCTTTATAACTTGTGTTTTTAGACTATCCACAGGATTATCTTTAAGTAAAATATAATTTCCTTTCTTTAAGATCTCTAATATTATGTTATTATAATTATGTTTAGTCAAGACTATTGTTTGTTTTGCTTTATCAGCTTTTTTAATATTAGATTATTATTTTCTAAAAATTCTTTAACTTTATTTATTATATTTTTAAATTGTATAATTTTATTTTTCTCTTTTTTCTTTAACCTATAATTTTTCACTAAAATTTGGATATTATTTCTAATTGACTGAACTTCTTGATGCTCATGATTAATTAAACCTGCTTCTAAATCTACTACAGTTTTCCTTTTATTTAAAGGGGTGGATTTAAAATCTAATCCCAATATCAGAGAATCTCTTATATCAGGTGGAATCTCCACATCACTATGATTAAGTACCAATTTGTTTTTCCACTGTTCTTTATTTGAAATTAAAACAGATGTAGGAGTAAAGTCACATCACATTGTAAAATGAATTGTAATAAAGCAGCTGGCTTCACACAGTCTTATGGATTTGGTGTATTTGTTTTGTTTAAGATCTGGAAACCAATTATTTTAATAATAGTAAGTTCATTGTTAGTTTTTAATATACTGTACTTAACAATATTTTATTATTAATGGTGGAACCGTCTACCAGAATTTGGAAAATGTGGAAGAAAATAAGACATTTACTGGTCCCAAATAATGCAATATATCACATTATTACATAAAACAATTTTATGGTCAATAGTTCTTAGTTCTTTAGTATATGGGTTGTATTAAATATTGTAAATACAGTGCGCTGTATGTATCAAAAAGTCGTTTGTATTGGTTAACTATTAGTGTTATAATTATATGTGTGCTAAGTTGGTACTATGTGTTTGTAAGCTGATGAGGGATCCTTGTACTTGAAATGCATCCTTTCCTAAATTTTAAGGTGATTATTAGACTAAATATTTTTGTAAAAGATCTGGTCTATTTTTTGGTCAGCCTTGGTGTGATAAGTCCTCCAAATTATTAAAATCCTATTTATTAGGCTATCTAACTCTATCTAAATACCCATTTTGATAAACTTAAACAACAAATACACATAATTTAAGGTAAAAATTCCTTAATAAGTCCCTTTTTCACTTCAATTGTTAAAACTACAACATTCCTCTTAAGTTTTTCTGCTTCTACACTATTCTTGGATGCAATGGTTAATAGGCAAGGGTTATATACATAACCAAACACATTAAAATCAAAGTGAAAAAAGCACTGAAAACACACAAGCTTTCACAACAAGAACAAGAAACAATTTGGGTACACAACATATGGTATTTACTTAGTGATTGCATTTTTCACTGTGTGCACAGTTCAAACATAGAAACATTGTTCAAACTCTGGAATGTTTGAAGTACAAGGTACCACTATATCTATCTGTATATAAGTAAATAATTTTTAAAAATTAGCTTCTAAATTAATATAGTTCAATTAGTTTATTCATTTATATTTTCAATATTTCTTAGGTTTACTTAATAGAAATGCTATAAATATTGTAATTCAGAAATCAATAGCATATTATAAAAATTAAATCACTATAACATATAAACTTACAGTTACAACAGATTCTAATATAAATTTTATATCAACAGCAACCAGTTCTCTAACGGTCTCAGACATATAATTTAAAGATAATTTATTTACTGAAGCCTTTAGAATTCTTATAGCACTTTTCAGTTGATAATAAGCATCATCTACTTGATTTCTAAATTCCTGTAAAAAATATATATATATATATACATTTTTTTTTTTAATTTCATTATGTAAAAATAATTTATAAAAATATAAAAAAATTTTATTAAATGAACAATATAATACCTCAATATAATACTTTCCACACAAATTATTTTTAAGATCACAAATGTCATTTAAATCTTTCAAGATAAATTCTATATTTATTAAAACAGCACTTTCTTCTGAATTTTTAAGAAGCTCTTTTGAAATTTTTCCACAGTTTGTCTTTAACAAGTTTTCCACCTGTAAGTACATCAAGATAAAGAGATAATGATATTAAAATCTATATTAATAAAAATATGTAAATAAATTATTGATCAGCAACTGATGATTCTCAGATGACAAAGCTATTTAAACTTAACATTTATGTTCAATATTATGCAATATCTTTCTTTTGTAACAAATTACATTGAATTTCAACTGCATGTGATGATAAAAAAGATATTATGGAAGCTTAAACATAATTAGATACTGAATGTTGGACAATAAAGTTAAGATAACCACTGTAATTAAGTTAATGAAGTAATCAATACACCTTTAACAATGAGTAAGATTGAAGAAATGCCAACATTTTCAATGCCAGTGCTCCAATCTTTCCTATCTGGTACTTGCATTCCCCTTATATCCATTCATAACTAAAGATAACTAGATCAAAATGTAGCATTCTTTAACTTACACACTGTTAACCATTATTATTTCAGAAACAAAAACTATTTTTTAACATTTTTCCATACTCTAAAAAATTGTCATTATGTTTTGTTTAACTGATTAAAGAGAATGGGTTTTTTTACGAAATAATTTTCTAAGCTGTGTTTTCTGTTTCTCATGGAAAGGACTCAAGCCTAAGAGTTATCCCATTCCTATGCACTTGCACAAAATGTCCAAAATAAATGAAAGCTTTGCCATTCACTGCTTTTATTTCTTACCATTGAAATTCCTTCAAGCAATTTCAAATAAAAAATTTGTCATTCTTTTTATGATAAAAATTTGAATCTTTAAAAGTATCAATCTGGTTTTATTTTTTCTATTCAAAATTGTTTCAGAAATTAAATTACAAGAAACAAGAGCACCTGAATTAAAGTAATTTTTTAAAATTTTATTTTGTATGATGTAAAAGATTAATTAAACCTGCTTCTAAATCTACTACAGTTTTCCTTTTATTTAAAGGGGTGGATTTAAAATCTAATCCCAATATCAGAGAATCTCTTATANATAAAAAATTTGTCATTCTTTTTATGATAAAAATTTGAATCTTTAAAAGTATCAATCTGGTTTTATTTTTTCTATTCAAAATTGTTTCAGAAATTAAATTACAATAAACAAGAGCATCTGAATTAAAGTAATTTTTTAAAATTTTATTTTGTATGATGTAAAATTTGATAATTACTCTAATAAGTTTACATGGCTGACCTGTCAATGTAAGGAACACCACATAAATGTTATATGGCCAATTAATTTTGCTTAAATTTAACATGACCAAACTTCCCCAATTTCCAGGATTTGCCTGACCTGGGATCTAATGTCTCGAATTTCCTTGAAGCTTGCCTGTTTTTAATATTTGATTGTAAACTCAACTGAATGGAGCAATTTTATTAATACACAATATAATATCACCAATTTATAGATCAATAAATTAATAAATTTTAAAAAGATAACTCAAGTTCAATTAGTTTTAGACTCCGTTTTTCACTGATTCTGAAATATGTTCCCAGTTGGATTATAAACAATGAGGTCAATCTATTAAATTATTAGATTAGAAAATGTTACAGACTTGCTCATCATATATAAATTCCATCATAATGTAATTAATTTGAAATGCTGATAAATGAATGTGAAAGCAATTGTTAGCCAGCATTGGTGTGCAATGACATTTGATGATAGGGAGGGTGTTTCCATAAAAATTATAAACAAATACTGAAAATGACAAAAATAAATAGTTTATTTATTTTAATTTTAAAATATATACATTCATATAAAACAAAGATATAAGAACTTATTTTTATGAAAATAATCACACAATACATATTTATATTTTAGAAAATACAAGGAAAGTGGCACTTCCACAGATTGCATGCCACTGTTAGCCAGTAGTATAATTAGAAGTAATATTACACAAGGCTGGATTAACTCACTTTAAGGCTTTAGACATTTTCTTCTTATCAGGCCCCCTCCCTCTCCCACAAGAAATAGATCGCACAAAAAATATAAAACAATAAATAAAACAAAACTAAATAATGTGAAAAACTAAACAAATCTTAAATTTTTATTAATAAAAAATATTTAATATACAACAATAAATTTTAGTTTTTCTAGTAAAGTTTGAACAGTTTCTTTATAAATTTAAAAAAATTGAAATTTATTTTATTAAATGTCTAACAAAAATTGTTATACAATAACAATATTACCTTAAAATATTAATTGTTTAATTTAACCTTTTTGGTTAATATTTAAATAATATAATATTTTATCAATGAAGGTAAATTGAATAACGTAAAAGATAATTTAAATAAAAGCTAAGATAGTTTTAAAAAAGTAAGTATATAAATATGAATAAACTTTATTTAAAAATTCTGTTTTCTAGTCTTTAATTCAGCAAAATTATCAGTTATTTCATCATAGTTACAGGTATACGGCGTTTCGAGTTACGTCGTTCCCGATTATACGTCGTTTGTTAAAAAAGTATATGGAAAAATAAAAATCAAGTTTAAGTCATTTTATTTGACTTTATGTCTGTCCACCACAAATATTGAAGTCGTAATATCACTAGAAAAACGTTTAAAGCACATAAAATCATATTAAAAAAGTACCTGCATTCATAAATTTAGATTACTTTTTTCTGTACTATATTAAAAACTAAAATTTATTTGTTTGTAAGCTTAAATTAGATCCTTATTAACCATATATTATTAAAAATGCATTAATAAATAAAATACAGAACCAGGAATGGTAATTTATGGTTTAGCCTAGTGACAAGTAGATTCGGAGACAAGTAAATTCAACTTACATCGCCTCTCCTGGAACCAATTAACGACGTAAGGCAAGATATACCTGTAATATTATCCAAAGCATTTTGTTCGATGTATAAAAAGCTAAAGAATTTAATTTTGATTCATTCAGTGAGTTTCATAAATAATTTTTTACATGTTTTAATACTGAGAATGACCTTTCAACAGATGCATTTGATATAGACAAAGTTAAATATATTCGCAATAATATTTCAATATTCAGAAATGTTGATACTAGTTTTGTGCTCTTTATAAATTGCACCATATCAGATGGCAACGTTAATTTTTGGCATTTGCAAATTAATTTAAATTGCAACAATTCCTCGTCCAATTCTTCAGTATCAATATCAGCACTGTACCATTTTTTTAGCAATACGGTATTAATTGATACGTCCTCGTCGTTGCCATCAGCTGTGTTTGTATGACGAATTTAAAAAATTTTTATCAATATCTTTCAAAATAGACAGTTTAACCAGGCCCTAGACATTTGTCTATGCAATGATCGAGCCTTGATATTACAGGGGCCCAAATTACAACATTCAAACCTACATTCACCTCTGCATCATGGTGAATTGGGCCACTAGGCACAAGCACTGTAAATGAAAAGTGAACTCTTAAGATATTGTATGTAGGCTGTATAAGTGTGTTTCTCACATTCAAGTCTTTCTCCTGTACTTAGTTTTTTTTTTTTTCACTCATTTACTTACAAAGGTAAAGGGAGCCTGCCCATGATTAGGGACTGTCCATAAATGACGTTTTCACTGAGAGGGAGGGTGTTAATAATCATATTATCCCTATTAATTAATGTCATTATTTATCTTGTAACGTTCAATTTTCCCTCACTGCTGTTACAGATTGTCCTTATACTTTCTTAACTTTCAATATATTGATATAAAACTTTAAAAAAAAAACAATTTTCAGTAAGAAACTGCTATAAAAATACCTACTTGTTTCATAAAATTATATAATAAATGCAGTTTAGTTTTCGAATGAAGTATAGCAATATAATCATCCATAACTTCTTTATTTTTCGATAAACGTAAACATAAATTCAAAATTACCACTTATTGACGTCATTTGTGACATCATCATAAAATTTTATCCAAGAAATAAGATCGTTATGCTAAATAAATATAAATACTTGATTTTTATGTCTAAATTTTAGTTTGAAAGTTTCGCATATATTTTAATTAATTAATTAGTAATAATATGTTATTGTTGCCAGATGGCCGAAGCGGTACAAAAGTGTCTTCATCTGAAACTTCTGTTCATTTTTTTAGGAAAAAAAATAATGAACGGGCGAATGGCCTACCGCCCGGTATTCTGTTCATTACTTTTTTAGAAAAAAATAATGAACAGAAGTTTCAGATTATTTTTTTAGAAAAAAAAATAATGAACGGGCGATTGGCCTACCGCCCGGGATCGAGTCCGAGTAATGATCACAAGAAATTTTTCGGGGTAATATGTCCCGGATATATTAATTCTCGTTCTTACTATCCGGTGTCTCCCATCGTAAGCCCGACCTTTTTTTTTTTTTTTTCGTTTTTTAGCTCTTTTCATCCTGTGAGCACTAAGACGGCCACTTTTTGCAAGCACATTATGGGTTCGGCCAGGCTCACAATTGGGCGGCGTGGTGTTGAAAAACGGGACCCGAAAAATTCGGGGGATTTTCTGACCGTCTTGATCCTGATCCCAGGTCTCCCAGAGCAGTGGGCTACCATCTTGAACGCCTGTGAGCCCGAACTAACGCACGGTGGGTATGGAAAAAAGACCCTCTTATTACCCACAGAGCGGAGAGTCAAAATGAAAAAGAAAAAAAAAACATATACAGTAAAACCTGTTCAAAACGGAATCTTAATTAATAAAACGGAAAAAATTCTTCGAAACTCAGCGAGTTTCTGCGTTGAAAGTCTGGTCAAAATGGCAACCTCCCAAACCGGAAAAATATTCAGTACCGTGCGAGCCCGGTTTATATCGGGTCTATTGTATATACAAACAAATAGCATCGTCGTCGTTATTTTTATTAAAATTACAAAATTACTAGTTTAGAAAACAATTTATTTTATTTTATTTAACCTAATTTATCAACATCTTGATCATTTAATAATGAATCATCCTCTGTAGGTAAATTTAAGTAGTTGACTTCAAATGTAACTTTAACAGGCTCTTCTGTATTTTTTTCACACGACGATGCATTGGAAAGATTCTCATAAACGTTATATTTCTTCGATACATAATTATTAGCTGGACCCTTCTTAGATATAAATAATTCTTTCTCATCATTTTTACTGGGCGAGTCGATCTCAAACAATGGCATTTCAGTTCGATATGTGTTCGAGCTTTTAAGTAAAGGTTTTTCTGTAGGTTGGATGTTAGTAATGGATTTAAGAGGCTTTCTTTTTTTCATAATTTGTTGCTTTGCTTTTATTTCGCGTAATTGTCTTAAAATTCTCTGTATTAAAAATATGATCAGTGCTAAAATATAAAGAACAATAAAAGTTGCCATGACTATTATTGCAAGCACTTCGACAATATATAAAAGTTTTGTACTACGTTTTGTACGTTCATAATTATTCACTTGAAATATATTAGATGTGTCCGGACTACTATATTTAGTTTTCTCTGCGACATTTTTTAAATTCCTTAACAAACGAGCATTTATTTTGTTTTGTTTCCTGTTTGATTTCTTCCAAAATAATTTATGTCTCTTATTATTCCAAACCGAATCAAGTCTTTTAATGTATAAATATTTGTTCATCAAAGATTCTTTGTGTGCTCTTCTAATGTCATTAAACGGTTCAATATTATTATCAATATCGAAAATTTGGGAGTTGTCTAAATAATTTTCTTTGTGTTTTAATGTGTCTTCTTTTTCATTATTTTTCCAATTTCTTTTTGATACAGAAAATCTTTTCTTAGTACTTCGTGATATATATTTGTCATTAGATTTTAGCTTTCCGTTTAACCAAAATAGTTTTTTCTTCTCAGCTCTACTATTAAATTTTCCGGGTATTTTCATCACATATTCTCTATTGTCTGCACCGAAAATTTGATTTCTTTTATTGGAAAATGAGAAGAATAATTTACGCTTTCGGCGTGCGAGTATTTTCCTGTTTTTCGAATTCTTTTCAGCCGCTTTTCTAATGTTTCTTTTCAAAATTAATTGTTTTATGATGTTAAAAACTGGAAAATATAGCGCATTGTTAATATTATGTGGTTTTAGTTTTTGTTGCACATTTTTACAGAATATATTTTTTTTAGAAATTTTTTTGAACATATTCTTTGCTTTTCTTCTGAATGATTGTGCTGATGTAGGAAAAGAAAATTCATTGCTTCCTGAATTCGCCTCTAAACTTGAATGTTTCTCTATCTTTCCCATAGTGTTCTCATCAATAATATTATGCGAAGACTTTATCCTTAACATTTCAAATTCATTTTTGCTTTCTACACCTACACTAATGAAATAAAATATCACACTAAGTATTAAAATATGTTGAAATTTTATAGTCAGAAACTGGATCATAAACAAATATACATCTTTCAGCATTGTTAATTTGACACGTAATTGTTAAATTTTATACTATAATTTTTTTCTTATTTGTTATTAAACAATAGAATATAATACAGTACAGTATAGTGAAACCTGGTTAACTCGAACCGAGATAACTTGATGTCACGTTTATTCGAAGTTATTTGCCTTTTTCGTTGTTATGTCATGTTAAATCAAACTGTTTTTTTAACTCTTTCCGCCCTGTGGACACTAAGAGGGCCACTTTTTGCAAGCCCATTATGGGTTCGGCCAGGCCCACAATGGGGCTGCCGGGTGGTGAGGCCGGGGCCCGACATATCCGAGCGGACCATCCCCCGAAAAATTCCTGGGGATTTTTCAACCCGTTCGGATTCGAACCCGGGTCCCCAGAGCGGTAGGCTGCCACCTTGACCGCTCGGCCATCCGGCCGCTAAAATCAAACTGGTTAATTCGAATTCCTTGAAAGCCCGGTGGAAAGCATAATGAACTTGTTTAAAAAAAAAAAAAAAGCTTTTTTAAGAGCCCATAGGGGGAAAGAGTTTTAAAAAGTGTTTTAATTTATTAGCAACGAACGAAGATAGGAAGTCGAAAGACCAGTTAATCTACCGACTCTGGTATTACTATTGTTATTTTTATTATTATTAGCAATAAGATTAAAATATTATTAAAAATTATTATTCGATGTCTATGAATATTATTATAAACTATTTCGTTAATTGAAATTATATTAAATAATTTAAATTTATAAATATAAATTATTAGTAGAAAATGTTTAAAAAGTGATTAATTTAACAGAATTTTAAATGAAAATTTTTTCCAGCAGTCGTAAAAATTTCAAAGATGGCAGCCTTCAGTGATTTGATTTCTTCGGGTTTGATAGGTGAAATATATATATTTTTTATGTATTTAGAGTATTGTAGTGAAATAAATTCTAGTTTATAAATTAATTAAAGTTAATAACAGTTCACTGTAATAAGATTAAATTATTTATTTACTTATTTTTACTGTATTTTATGCAAAAACATGTTTGAATAAATGTTAATTTATACAGGACGATCCAAAAGATAAGATCAATCTGACAGATGATAGAGGAGTTTGTGTAGAGTAAATAATGCATGGAAATTTAGTATATTAATTGTATTGGAGTTTACATTAGATATGTTTTATGTCCTCTCATTGCAGAGATGCCATAATGCTTCATTTTGAGTGTAACATTATTTTAAAACTAAACATAATGACTTTCTACCACCAGCAATTAAATAGGTAATATTAAATATTCCTGTGTGGATGATTTCCAGATATTGTCAGTCTGTTAATATGAGATTAGTAGAAAGACAGCTATGGATGGCTTTGAACCAGATTCAGGAATTTGCTGACAATAATGACTATCTTTTCAACATAGAAAATGTGCACTTTTGCAGATGTGGGAACTATCTAGATCCTATTTGTTGCTATATAATAACTTCTTACCTGTTTTTGATGAGGTACAATTTCTGGGTGTAACATTTGACAAAAAATTAATTTTCTTTCCTTACATGTGCTGTTTGAGGCAGAGATGTACAAAAGCCTTAAATATATTGAATGCCTTTGTATATATTGAGCACATATCAAGTAAAAGCTTGATTATGGTTTTGCTTGGACTCCACACTATGCAATTTACATTATATTCATCATCATGTAAAGGTCCTTTTTGGACATCATCTGTATGTAGCAATGGAGAGTAGAGGCTCAAGTGTTTCTATATATGCATATAAAAGCACTTGTGCTTCCTCTCTATTAGTAGGAAGCAGTTGTCTCTATTTTACCTGACAAAATTATGTTCATTACATAATTATTTCTCACGACATTTTGTTTTTAATTCTGAATTCTTACTTTATATCATGCAAAACCACTGGGACTATGAAAACCACAGCTGAGTGATATTGATCTGAATATAAGCAACATAGCAGAGTCATCAATAAATTTAAAAAAATATTTCAAAACAGTTGTTTTAATTGTTGTTTTTAATAATTTCAGAGAAAGACACAAATAAAGATGTCTTATGGACCTGGTCATTTCCATCAATTACATCTAGTCAAAAATCCTTTTTATTAAGAAAATGCAACTTAGACAATGAAGTAACATCTGTTTCCCAACAAATTACTTTTCGTTATTATCATTTCCAGCGTGTTTGGTTTTACCTATATTTATCTGAAGTATTTGAAGCAGATAAACTACCAAGGGTAAGAATTATCATATAAGAAATATAAATTATAATGCACACAATTTTAAACATTAATGATAGATACTATTATTTTGTAAATAAATTAATTATAATGATATAAATTTATTTTTATAAAAATTATTTTAAAAACCAATAAACAGTTGTCAATGATTTCATATTTTTAGTGTTAAATAACACTAATTAACACTAACACAATTAATCTATTATAAAATTTTAGTTTCTTTTAATTTAAAATATTATTTTTAAATAGAAGAAAATGCAATAGACTTTTGCTAATCTGGCCTCTCAATTATCCAGTTTACTTCCCCACTGTCATTTATTGCCTGTATGCTTGTTTTCCTGAAAATATCAGTCACACATTATTTTCTTGTTTACTCTGCACCCATGACCCTCCATGGTTATCAGCCAGCTTATGCTTTAACTCTGGCATGGTGTATATACATATATATGCATAATAAATACAACCAACCCAGGAATTACTTCAAATATCAAATGAAATACTGAATTGACATATGACTTATGCTATTGGGATCTGCTTCTGAATAAGCCAATTATAGATAATGCTAAATTGATTGATTAGAAATTTATATGATTTAAATTAATCATGAGCAACTTGCAGCCTGTAGTAAGTTGTCAGTGTAACTTTATTTACCTGTTGTCTACCTTATACCATTATGCATCCCTAATTAAGCAGATATTTTTGAAAAACAACATTCAAACTAAACTTGATTAGTGAAAAAATGAGAATAAACTAGACTCTGTATTATTAATTTGCATATCATTAGCATATGTTATTTAGTATCTAGTTACTTGAGGTTGTCTGTTGATATTCAGCAGATTCAAAAGTCTGCACCTCTAAGAAAAATTCACCTGGCCTGGCAGAATTCTATGAAGTTCACTTGTAGCCTGCATACAGAAAAGGCTGCTTATCAATGATGCAGTATCATTACACTATCATACAAAAAAAAAGTAATATCAAGAATTATTGATAACAAATGTATTCTTAGCTAATACCTACCTCTACAATTCTTCTCAGTTCATCATTGATAAATTAGTTAGTAGATATTTGTTATTCAAAATGAAAAAATATCATAAACTATTATTAAAATATCCATAGGAAGAACATTCCTAATCTTCCTATTGATAGTTTATTCAGTATATAGTATATATTGAAACTTACCAGAAGACAAATTCAAAGATATTTCTATTGTACAGCATATGTCAAAATGAATATCAGAGTTTTTAAATCATTTGTATGGTTATACAGGGTGTTCAGAAAGTCACTGTGCCCTATTCTAATCATATTTTCACATTATTTCAAAAGATGTGTGGCTCCTGCTTATCAGATCTAAATCCACCAGACTTTTATCTAGGAAGACCAGCAAAATCTGCAGTGTATCGAGATCGTCCATGCATGCTGGATGACTTGAAAGCAGTGATAACAGCATTCATTCAGTCTTTTAAGCAAGCAACTGAAGCAGTGTTTAGAAACAAAATAAGATGGATCCAAGCCTATATTGATGCTAACGGGGGTCACTTTCAATATTATAATTGTTATTCATATTTATCTCTTGTATTCTATATTGAAACATGTCTGTTAATAAATATATAAATGCACAGTGACTTTCTGAACACCCTGTATAAACAGACATGTACCTTTGCAACCTATACATTAAAAGAAAGTAACTGTGAAAATTTTGAATGTTAATACGTAAAGCATTTTATCATTTCCAAACAGCAAGTTTATGACCCATTCTTTTTTAAGGAACAAACTGTTAAAGGACATACATACTTTGATATGCTCTAAAATTGGGCCTTCCCTTAGCTTCTGAATGGATTACAGAATGTAATTTGGCAACAAGATGGTATACCCCCATTTTTTATGGGATGTTTGAGAATGGTTGAATGAAATTTTCCCATTGCTGGTTTGGCTGTTATCGCCTGAACGACATTGCTTTGTTCCCATGGCCTTCGAGATTCCCTAACATCATTCCCATGCAATTTTCTTTCTTGAGGGTATGTAAAAGATTACATTTGTGTGCCACCACTACCTTCGAACATACCAATTTGAGACACAGGATTGTTGACTGTTGCATCCATTATACCAGACATGTTGAACATTGTGTGGGAAGAACTGCATATTAGTTGGATATGTGTTGTGATTGAAAGGTTCCCACATTTAGCACTTGTGATGTGTGTTATAAAAGCTTTGTATATTTTTCTTTCATATCAAGTATGGTATACTGCAAGTATGACAAATTATACAAATTTAAAACCTCATTATTCTTTTTGATACACACTGTATAAATTTAAAAAAACAATAAACAAAATATGCAAAATGAAATATAATAAAAACTGTAAAAAGTACAGCTATCAGCAAGTATTGTAGATACTGTATCTTGGTGTTTTTCTGTTTGTTTTTTTTATATTCTTTTGTGTAGGCATATGAAAAAGACCAGAAAGCACAATGCACATGATGATTGTGTTTAAAAGTAATTTTGGAGACTATGAAAATAAACAGCTCTCTTGCATTCCAATAATAATTAATATTATTATTTTTGAAAAACTATATCAATGCTTCAAAAAAATAATAATAACTAAATGCAATATTTAGCTTTATTATTAATTATATACAGGTAGCCTTCGGTTTACGCCGGTTCAATTTATGCCAATTCACAATAACGCCGCTGCGCAATTTGCCGTTTTGAGGTGTAATTCCCCAATTTTCCCTATGCTAGACTGATTTTCATTTCAGTGTTGACGTATTTACCGAGCCACGACGTTGTACATTCGTTAAAACAAAGATTTTTATTAAATATATTTATTTTTTCTGTTTAATATTATTGGGTATGTATACATTTGCATTAAATTAATATTAAAATACTAAACGTTTAGGTACCCACGAGTCAAGATATTAAACTTAATAGTCCAATAAATGGCGTCCGAATCCATAGTGCCAATGAATGTATCCTGTATCAGTTCATTCAGGAAAACACCTTACGACGCAATAGCACTTCTGGCGATCACAAATTATCATTAGTGAGACAAATCTACTTCTCGTTGGCCAGACGATATTTATCTCTCCTTAGCCACCTTGAATTTTCCTGCTCAAACTGACCTTATATATGTGCTACAGGACTGGTGGTCAACCAATCAGTGTCTTCGCTCGTCCGTAGCTCTACGTCGGATTAACATATCCTTTCAACTAAGGAAAGCTTGACGGACGAAGTTTGTGAGTTAGACAATGTTAGGAGCGAAGTGCAAATGTAAAAAAGGAGCGTCATATTCGACCATATTCCGAAATTCTTAATGAAAGAAATCAAAAATGTAAACAATTAAAGATGGATACTTTTTTCCGAAAAATGTAAGAAATTCGAAACTAAAATTTTTAAATAAAAACATTTAACTTTATTTTATGATAAAATACATTTTAAAAATTAAAAATTTATATGTATTTTGTATTATATTGTATTAATAAACAAAATTATTAGCTTATTTTTCACTTATGTAGAACCTAACCCTATACCTCACTGTAAATACGGGTTCGTTTTACACCGATTCAATTTGCGCCGGCTTTTGTAGGAACGGAACTGCGGCGTAAACTGAGGGCTACCTGTATTTTAGAAAACAAGACTGAATTGTACTAATAATTAAATGGTAAATCCAGATTTCATATTGTGTTATAACTTAGTCAATTAAATATACAGATTTAATTATATATAATTTGGTTAATATTTGCATATTTAATTAGCCAAGTTATATCCCAGTAAGAAATCCAGTTTTATCATTTGATTGTGTAAAGTTCTGTTATTAGTATATTATTACTATTATGCTCAATAGACACAACAGAATAAAGTGTTCTTTTAATAACTAAGAAATTAGTATCAAGATGACAATCTTTTAAATATCATAAAATAATTTTTATAAATATAAATAAAACAAATTTTTATTATTATTAGGTTAGACAATTTGTTCTTGTCTTGAAAACTAAAGATTTTAATCCTGAGAAATATGAGACCTTGTGTAGAATATTAAGTAAAACGTATTGCAAAACTGGAGATCCTGCAGCAATGCTTCGTCTTTACTTATCAGTTGCTATTAAAGGATGTTGTGCAACAGAAGAAAATGGAACATTTCTAACAAAAGATTTTGACCAGAAAACTTTTTTTTCTACAGTTCCAATAAAAGGTTTGTTTTGTTAAAGATTTATAAATTACACTTTATACAGTAGAATCTTGATAAGTTGAACTTTCTTAGGTTGAATTTTTAAAATTTTATTTTTCTTCCAATTTAACTCATATAGACTCAATGATTAGGTTTCTATAAATCAAAATAGTTTTGACATCACATTTCACTAACTTGAAATTTAAGATCTGGAGATTATTTTATGTCTAATTTTGTGTGCTTTCTTTCTCATTTTTAATGTGAAGGATGATGATTATATGAAATTGACAGATTGTAGTGTATAAAATTGTGTGTCTGATTGTACAACATAAAATTCAAAATTTTAATGACATTTTGTCCCTACAGTAATAATCTTATTTGTAAAAACAATTTGACCAATCTCAGTGCTTTAAAAAAAAATTTAGATTTTGAAAATTTAAAAATGTAACAAACATATCTGTGATTTGACAACTTACTGAGTTATTGGTGAGTGAAATGATGAATATGTTTATATGTATCTCCTTATTTGGAATTAAACTTTCATATTGTATAAATTTCACTGTAAAGTTTGAATCATATGCTGACATTTTTGTTACTGATAGAGATCAGTTAATCAATGTATTGGCCATTTTCATTCTGAAATAAATAGAAATGATGAACAGAAGAAAACTAAAGATTTTGTTGCTAGCATAAATGGTATCCATTATAAAAGACTGTAGAAGAAAACAAAAGCAAAAAAAAAAAAAAATCAGAAATTGTGATATAACATTAATCAATATCACACCTTCCTTACATCTTCCAGCAATACTGTATTAGAAACAAATGTTTTCGGCCTAGTTTGAGCCTACTTCAAGTTCTACACTTTTGAACTGAACAGTACTGAATGTTCCAACATAAGCCTGTACTTCATCAGGAAGGACTGTACTTCATCCCTAGTTAGGATTAATATGTTTTTTTTGTCAAGTTTAGCTGGCATGGCCTTAGTTTCCTGATGGAATATAGGATATTGGAACATTCAGTAAACTGTTCAGTTCAAAAGTATAGAACTTGAAGCAGGCTCATAAACTAGGCTGAAAACATTTGTTTCTACAGAATTGCTGGAAGATGTAAGGAAGGTGTGATATTGATTAATGTTAAGATAAGATTCCACTTTGAAAGACTCGTTGTGATTATAATTTTATATTTCATTGAGTACTTTCTATAGATATTTGAAAAACAAGAAGAGGATTTTGAAAAGCTTTAAGGAACAACACAGTCAGACAGAACAGAAAACTAAGTATAAATGTCAGTATTCAGATGTGTTGAAAAATGCATGGTAAAATGGTTTGTACATTTTAGAAATAAAAATATTCTTGTTGATGGAAAACTTGAAGAAAAAAAACTAGATAATTGGAACAAATCAGATTTAAAGTAAGCAGTAAGTGGCTGGATAAATTTAAGAAGCAGCGTGGATTACTTTTTAATAAATATGTGGTGAAAGTGCAGAAATGCAGGAGGAGGATTACATGAAGTGGTTGAAATGTTCACCAGAAATTGTACAGAACTGTAATCCAGATGATGATTTTCAATGCAGATGAAACAAACTTATGTTTTTAAAATGTCTATCAGCAAAACAATGTTAAAAGATGACTCATGCCACTAAAGTAAAGGAAGCAAATAATGTATAACTTGATGTTACTTATACATTATGTAGCAAAGAAAGCATAGATGTTGTCAGAACTTTTTTCTAACTAGCTGAAAATGTTAGACATCTGTATAATTGTTGAAACAGAAACTACAGTAGACACTTTCACATCTGGCCCACCCATATCTAAACTCCAGACTGATCAAAGGCAATCAAAAAGTTTCAAAAATATTGTACACTACTACAAATCCTACCTTTCCATACTTCACTGTGTACATTTAATTTTTTTTTAAATTAAGATTGATTTTGAGTTTGTAGAAGAACATGATGCATCAACCACTGCTGACATGATGATGATGATGTGTTGATGGGATGTATCAGCTTATCAGCAAATCAAGATGAACAAAATGAACAAAACAAATAACTTTAATACAATACTTTGAAAATTAATTGTAATTGTAAAAAACAAGCATCAAAATTAAAATAAACATCTTTTATACATTCAGTAGACATGTATACTACAGTCTTATTTAAAAATTCTCTCTCTTACCTGGATTTTTCTAATATCTAGATCATTCCACCCACATTAGTTCAGATATGGGAGAATCTACTGCATTTTTTTAATTGATAATTGCAGTGTTCTTTCAGTAATCCTATTCTGAAAGCTAAAATAATTTAATTTTTATCATCATATACAACTTTTAGATTTGAAACCTTCATATCAGAGAATCATTCAAAACTTTAGATTCTGATACATCATCTTTTGTACAATAAGCTTTTTATATGTTACTGAAGATTGATCATGAGTTTGGAGTGAACTTGCTAGTTGCAATGCAAATGATTAACAAAGCTTGGAATGAAGTTCCACAAAGTACCATTGCACCATCAGCTGGAATCAGGATGTCACTGCTAACTGAACTGCAGCATTGCTATCGAAATGCTGTCCTGCCAGAAATTGCTTCAGGTGGAAGAAAAGGTGAAAGTCACTGGGTACAAGGTCAGGATGTATGGGGGAAAGGTTAAAGATATCCCTACCTGAATTGTTGCAGAAAAACTCGTATGCACAAGCATTATGGGGCCATTTGTTATTGTGGAACAACACAACTCAGCTTTTCACATTGCTTATTCTGTATTGTTTTCTGCAGCTTCTGCAAAGCTGCACATTACCAGTCAGCATTGATGGTGTGCCAATGTGATAAGAACTCAATGAGGAGGACACCCTGTCAGTCTCAGAAGACAGTATACATGATCTTTCTAGCAGATGCTATTTGCTTGAATCTTTACAAGTGATCTACTATGCTGTCAGTGTACAGACTGTTTCTAGGTCCTTGGCATGGCAAGAGACACCTGGTGACAATATGGTTGAGGAACTGGTTGTCTTCATTGTGGTACTGCTGCAGAAACACCAATACTTCTGCTTGGTGTTTCATCTTGTGTTCAATTGTCAGTTGCTTCGGCACTCATCTTGCACACAACTTTTGAAACTCCAGCCTCTGGGTGACAATTTTGTATAACAGAGCATGGGAGATCTGCGGAAACTGACAGGAGAGTTCTGACACTGTAAAGTGTCCATTTTTGTTCAATTGCTTGCAGCACAATATCCACCAGTTCTGGTTTAATGAGGGATGGTCAGCCACTATGGTCTTTGTTATGCATATTGGATTGGTCTTCTATGAATTGTCTGCATCATCATCTGACCATACTGTCACTCATGATGTCTGGCCCATATATTTCACACAACTGCCAGTGGATATCTGCTGGCATCAACTTCTTAATATGCAAAAACCTGATTATGGCACATACTTTGCATTCAGTGAGCGAATGTATGAGAGCAGTTATCTTTCCTTTAGCATTGTGCTACAGAAACTGCCTCCACGGAGTTGCATATGCATCAGATTATGACCAAATAGTCCTCTTTTACACCTGCTCAAGTACATCACACTTTGATCATCAGTGACACTTTTGGAACTTATTTTCTGGATGCTCCTTGTACATTTGTAAAAAAAGATGGTGAATATAAAATCACCATCTTTTTTTACATCATGGTGAATATAAAATTATCTGTAAATTTTGAACAGGGTTTTGCTTATATACAGCAGATTGCAACAAATATAATTTTACATATTGTAATATATTTAATTTCTTAAAAAGCATTTCCTGCGTGCCTACGAGCTACCTTACAGAATGTGGAGAAATCGCTTCTTTCGAAGTTAATCAAGTGCAAACGAAAAGCTCTGGCAGAAGTAGAGCTAAGGGTATATCTTGCCCACCTTCAGTTTACAGAGTCTTGCTGCCCGGCCTCTTTATATGAACAGTTGGGAAAATTGCAGAGTATTGCTTCTCATTTTGCTGAAAAAAAGATGCTTTTGAGACAGTTGACTGCATTGAAAACATTGATTTCTTGCTTCTTGCTCAAAGATGACAAATTCATATAACAAACCTTTTTCATTAATAGTGTCAATCTTCTATTTTGTACATTCATTTCATTTGCTCACTCTTCCATATTTACCTGACATTTTACTGTTGCATAATTTGTTTTTTATGCTTTTTTTATTTTTGAAAGATCTGCTTCTGGCATAATTTTTAATAATGATTCAAATTTTGAGCTGAAATTATTAAATTCAAAAATTATTGATTTCATTATATATAGATGAACATATAGATTTTGTTCAATTAACATTAAAATTTCATATGGATTTCATATTCAGTGATATTAGTATTATATTTTTTTTAAGGGAAACTTTTAAAAAATCACTGATTTATTTACATTACAGTATTAAAATCAAGCTTATCAATTATAAATTTTGTTTCTCATCATATTACATCATGGTGAATATAAAATTATCTGTAAATTTTGAACAGGGTTTTGCTTATATACAGCAGATTGCAACAAATATAATTTTACATATTGTAATATATTTAATTTCTTAAATTAATTAGCATTTTAAAGAGTAAAAGAAATACATTCAACAATTAAATAAGTTCAAATATCATTTATTTATTAGATTCTTGAAAAAATAAATTTTTTATTTCTAACTAGACTTACTACAATTTTAGCTGTCATTAGGATGTTTGGCCTTGAAACTATCTTAATTTATACAGCTTTAATTTTGAAGAAACGTATTGTTGTTTATCATCATCATTTGGATTACCTTTTAAGCTTTTTAAGGTATGTTGTATTTTGTATTCAACACTTTCAAAAAGTCCTAACATTTTAGTCTGAACTGATATAAAGTAGAATTTTCTGTAAATTATTGATAATATTATAAGTGTATGTATGTTAATCTTTCAAATATAGAATCAAATGAATCTTAAGTGATAAATTGCAATGCCAAACAAAATAAAATAAATATTCCAAAATATTTTGGGATATACATTTTTTTAATCTTATTTTGCAGTTTATTTTACTTTTTACCTTTTATATTACTGTCTATGTCTAAGATTGATTTTTAATATTTAATTATTTGATATACAGGGTTATTCAAAAAGGATAATGCAAAAGCAAATCTGATTTATTCATACTTGAAATAATATAGAATAACAGTAATGAACCCGGAAAGACAGAAGAACTCACCAATTTTCACATACACATCACAAATGTTCAAAGTGGAAACTATTAGTGTCACAACAGTTCTCAAAGATGATAGTCTAGTTCTGCTAAATGTCCCATCATATCCTCTGATATCAATTTCACTGTTTCAGAGATGCTTTTACATTCATTTTGTTCATGTATTATGACTTTGGAAGTGGACACTATCATCTTCCAATGCCACAGCACCTTGAAGACCTGAAACAAAGCATCTTTGAATCAGTGGAATTGATATGGATGATATGCTGGGACATGTTTCAGTAGAACTGGACTACACTCTTTGACAATTGTTGTGACACCAATAGTAGACTTTGAACATTTATGTGCACTAAGCAGGGATCAGGGGTTAATCTCATCCTGACCACTTAATCTGCATGGGCTGGTAAAGCCGATCTTGGAGTCGTTCAGATGGCTAGGAGGGAAAAATGAGTGGGGAGTGCATTGGTAAGTTTGACAGGTTTCCTCGGATAGGCAAAAGACAGGTTTAAACAACAAAGAAGGTGTTTAAACCTTCTTTGTTGAGAGAGTTTACAAAGGTTACTGCATTCAGATATACCTTAATATGATATCGGATGACGGTATGTGACGATCATTCGGGACTATGGAAGCTGGAACAATCTTATGTCTTCTACCAGCTTCTACTCGGACAGGACCGTGACGGGAGACACTTGTACTCAGATCTTCCTGGGATGATCACTCTGAGGGATGATCGTCCTGAACTTCCTGTGACGATCGTTTTTATACAATCGTCGTTGGCACTGAGCCAACTGGTTTTTCACTCATTATGCTGACTAATTAGCAGATGCGCAATGACTTGCCTTTCTTCCTTCCTATCTTGTTGATGTGTAAGAGTCGACATCTGATGTATTTCCATGGGATCTTGCAATAATTTTTTTTCATCCTCAATGTTAAAAAATGTTAAACACAAAAATTTACGCCCTTGAAACCCTCGGGCTTACATTTGTAATGTGTATGTAGAAATTGGTGAGTTCTTCTGTCTTCACATTTCATTACTGTTCTTGTATGTTATTTCAGGTATGAATAAATCAGGGGCCCTATTCTGGTCATCTTCTTTCATCTTTAAGAGACAGTCTCTATATCATAAGCTGGTCACTGATTGGATAATCATTTGTTTATGTCTTGAGAGACCATTGCTTCTCTCAAAATGCAATTCTAGATGACTTTTTTTCTTGAAGATTCGCTTGTCTCCCAGAGACGAGGTGATAATCGTCTTTTGACTGTTTTTTGTGTGTAACTTTAATTTCGCTTATATCCAATATGGACAACTAGATGCTTCTTTGTCTTACACAATATATTAGAGAACTTTCTCTGTCTTAGGAAAGAATATTTCAACATAGAGACAATGCTTCTGATCTGCTACTTGAGAATGCCACTATCTCCATCTTTTTATAATGATTCTACATCAATTATTGAACCATTGAATATGCTGTTAATCTTATCTATCACTTCTAGCAATTTCTAAGTATTTTTTGAAATATTACCATCTAATTTCTCCTTAACTAAGTACACACACTTTTCTAACTAACTTAGATTATTGAAATTTCTATTTGTTAAGACACAATGTTACCTGAGACAATTTGACATTACAATCTATAAAATCATTATAAAACAAAAACATATCTATCATACTTATGCTGTTTATTTGAAGCTTGTGCTTTCCTTACCACATGATCTATAATTTTGTACCCTGCATTTTTGACAATTTTACAATTTTGTTGGTTGGTTACAATTTTAACCAACAAAATTGTAAAATTTTCTGTACTGTATTGTGTGCAGATACAAAATTCTGTACTGTATTGTGTGCAGATAATCCAAACATGTATAATCAATATAATAGAATGTCAACAACAAAGACAAAATTGTTATGAACAACCAGAATTACTGTCTCTGAGAGAAATTTTCTCTCTCATTTTGACATCATTCATCTCTGAAAGAAGAGAGAAAACATAAGTGACCAGAATATGGTCCCAGATTTACTTTGGCATAATTTTTTTTTTTTTTTGAATAATTCTGTATACTTATATTCTAATTAATGTTAACTAACTGATTTGCATTAGGCAAAATACATAATATACACACGTCAATATGCTTTAAAAGCAATCTTTTGTAATTAAATTTTTCTATGTATAAAGAATAAAGCTTACAGTAATTTGTGTTAATTTATTTTGTGAAATGAAGCAGCATAAATTTTTAATATCATGATTACTCATGGTGCAAACTGTGGATGGCTTTAGGCCCATGGTTCTCAGCTGTCTTATTCTATTGCTTTAATTGTTAAATTAGACTTATCCAATAAATAATCTGGTGAATCATTTGGCAATACTAGTTGAATTGGGTTGTTGTATACAAATGTAAAAAAATAAAAGTTTACAAATTAATTTATAGACATATTTTAGATCTGGTTCTAAGCAATTGTAACTCTAATTTGTCTAGGTCTGATTCCAGCCCTGTTTTTAGGAAAAAAATTCAAAAACATTTTAAGTTTGCCAGATTTGCACCAATCAGTAAGCAGCAGCCCTACAAAGTTGATGCCCTCCAAACGTGGCAACAACCATATGCCATAACACTGGTGGGAAATCACATGCAGAGAGGACATTCTGTGTATTGTGAATTAGTTTTACAGTATGATATATCCATTGCTGAGTTTGAATGCCTGACATGGAAAAAAGGATGTGTATAAAAAACAAAAATGATTGAAATATGTTTGTAAAATGTACTGATTTTAATATATTGAGAACATTCTGATAAACCAATATATCACTATTGGCTCAGTATTTATTACATGTCTAATAAAATAATAATGAAAAGTTACTTTTACTTATAATTTTATTTTACTCTTTTATATAAAATGATCATTAATTAATAATATAATGATTATTTTTTATATTTTTGTTATACTATATTGTTTTAATTAGAAATAATTAAAAATTTTCTATCAACTGAAACAAAATTGTTATTACTTATAAAATAATTACTCATTCAACTCTAGGGCACTTCCTGCTTTAGTATGGCATCGACAAGACTGGGATATTTTATATCCTGATGTTGATATGATAGAAGAAGAAATGGCTGATTTAACTTCAAATCCAAATTATGTTGCAGGATTTCAAATAGCAGCAGTTGAAGGAAGGCATGAATTATATGATATATTTGTGAATCTTGCAGCCACTGAAATATCAGTGGCAACACATGCTAAAGGTTAGAAAATTTAATTAAATTAGATTAATTTATTCAACTTTCCTTTTTTTTGTTTGATATAACAGAAATTGCATTTTATTTTGTTTTATTCTAATTTTATTCAATATAATATATAAAAGTAGGAAAAGTCTCTCTCATATTTTATAGCTTTAATGGCACAAAAATATTTATCTAAACTTACTTCCAAATTTACATTGATTTTATTGATTGATTGATTGATTGAAGAAATAGACATTCTTAATAATAATCTCACTTATACACATAATAAGAGAGTTGTAATGAGATCTGGTAAATAATGGATTATCTATTTAAATTTTTGTTCAAAATAATTTATTAACTATTGGCAATATGTTTAATAATTATGAAATATGCAAAAATATAATAATAACATATTTAAAATTTTTATTAAATAATTTTTAAATATATTATAATGCTTATAATTAATTAGAATGGTTTATTTTTAATTTTTGGTTGTAAATCCTTTAACTTATGTAAAATAATTATGGATAGGAACTTTCTTCTATCATTGACCTATTTTGTGTTATGTCGTGGGATGACCAAGTAACGAAGGATCTAATATATCTGAACAAAACTATCTTGAAAAACTTTGATGATTTAACCTAGATTTAAATTTAGGTTCCTCAAAAAGCAGAGGCAGGCGTTAGCCATCTCAGCCACCCAGTCATCAAAATTAATTAATGAAGATTATAAGATAGTAACAGTGTAGTTTTGCACTATCTACTCAATTATTTAAAATATTATTTCACAAGTATGTTTGACCAGACCATATTATTTGTTTGAATTTTTCAAATTATTTGAGATTATAAAACTCAAATATTCCTTAATTTATATATAGAGAAATACACTTCTTATTGACAAGGGTATTTTTTAATCCTTGATAGAATTTAAATTTTAAAAATGAAAATACTCCTAAAATTATAACACACATTTATAATTGCTAAGAATATATTTTTGTTAAAAGTACAGGATGATGATTTATTTAGACATTACAGTGCACTCTTGTTATCCTATTTAGTGTCAACTATCAGTATCATCAATTTTTGATTTCATATATTTTAGTGTATATTTAACTTTAAGGAGAAAACAGTTAATGGTTATTGTCAACTTTTTTCTAGTCTGAAGTGTATGCATAGTGTACTAAGTAATATCAGTAATTTTTTCAATTACATCTGCTAGAATTAATATTGTTGCTTTCAGGAAGTTTCAACAAAACATACACAAATTTAGTTGGCTTTTATATTCACAATTTCATAATTTTTTCAGGAGGTTTTGGCTGTCTTTTAAGATGGTTTAAAAATCTGTCAGCATGCATATTATATGAAAGTACAATGTATTCTTTAATTAAACAGTTGTATTAAGGATTTTTGTTATTATAATGTCAAAATCTAAATCACAGGTTCTCAGACTTATTTTGACCACTGCCCACTTTGAGATGAAAAAAAAATCTAATGCCCTCATATTTTTTAACTTACCTTTTTACATTACCATCTGTTGCATATCTTAAAAACAGTTATTGCAAATATAATGTTTAAACATGCATTATTATATGGATAGGATAGATAGGGTGTGACCCATATCCTATTTCTGAGATCAAAGAATGTTTCAATGAGAAGAAATAAAACTCATATTTAATCACTGGGCTTTTTCTTGCCCCCTGAAAGCCTCCAGCACCCACAAGGGGCGTTATTGCCCACTTTGAGAAAGGATGATCTAAATTAACAAGTATGTACAAATGGAATGAAGTAAGTGATAGTGAAGTTGATGACTGTGAGTATGATGATACAGTGGTTACTAAGTTATTTTAAAAGATGCTCTCTTTTTTGTTTTTGTTGTTTAAAGTAAAGAAAATTTTGAAAATGCATTTACTTATATTGATAAATTATGAATACATTGACAAAACGGTACATGAGAACAAATACAATTCTTCAAAACAGATTTTGAGAATGACTTTTATATGCAACTTTTTTTATAACTGAGGGTCTTCCATGTATACAGGGTGCATAGGAAAGTCCCTTTAACTGGAAAATTCTTGCAAACGGAGAGAGCTACAGCTATGCAAGTGAGGTAACGGTATAGTAAAGTGACTACGCCTGATCTAATGCAAATGAAAGCAGCGCCCCTAGTGGTGAAATTTGAAGATAGGCAGTGCAAAACGAAAACAGATAGAGCAAACTTTCCAATTAGAAAGTTTTAGAGCATCAATTAATTAGTAAGAAACAACCTGTGTTTCACATGGATAAGATAAATTGTCGCCTGTATATCCAAAAATGTCTGAAAGCGATGCACGCCATTTTGTGTAAACATTTGAAAGGAATAGCCATAGGTATGAAGAAATACGCACAATTTATTGCATAAAATATCTACTTATGTCAATACAGTTTGATAACATCACACAAAAAACAACGGAAAGGCAAACTGTCACACACTAATAACAAGTTAATGTCGAGTATGTTTGAAAAGTTTGCCATTGCTTATGATACACACCATTGTTATCAAACTGTATTGATGTAAGTAGATATTTTATGCAATAAATTGTGCATATTTCTTCATACCTATGGCTATTCCTTTCAAATGTTTACACAAAATGGCGTGCATCACTTTCAGACATTTTTGGGTATACAGGCAACAATTTATCTTATTTGTGTGAACCACATGTCATTTCTTATTAATTAATTGATGCTCTAAAACTTTCTAATTGGAAAGTTTGCTCTATCTGTTTTTGTTTTCGATTTGCGCTACCTATCTTCCAAATTTCGCCACCAGGGTCACTTCTGTCGTTTACATTAGGTTGGGCGTAGTCGCTTTACTATACCATTAACTCACTTGCATAGCTGTAGCTCTTTCCATTCACAAGAATTTTCTGGTTAAAGTGACTTTCCTATGCACCCTGTATGTATTGTATATATTTGGCAGTTTTCTGTAAATTTTTTAATAAAACAAAATTTACTTGAAAACAAATTGCTGTTTTACAATGAAATGTATAGTGAAATATTACCATATCTGTTTAATATAATTTTCTTTGAGGCTAAAATTGCATAATACTTGTTAAGGCCAACTAGCAGTTAATATCAATCCCTATTTATAGTCCCAGAGAGGTTTACACTAAAAAGAGACTGCTATATTTAGCTAAATATATATAAATATATAAAAACTATATTTGCTTATGTAAGATAGATTACATGGATTATAGTCACATCTGATTATTGAAATCATTAAAAAGGATTATGTAATATTATGCACACATACAAAGTAAATAATAAAGTTTGATTTCACCATAAGAAATTATGGCTTATGGAATATATTTCAAATTTTATTTAAATATGATGTTAGTTTTTCTTTTACACTGGAGTAATCTCATTAGTTTACCTATGTATTGATTTTCATTTTAAATATTAGAGGCAGTCAAATGAAAATGAGACAGACTATATAACAAGTGTGGCACAGAAGTTGGTAATGCAAGTAAGTGTATATATAGAAGTGCCCTCTATTGGGAATCAGGAAGGAACAGCATGAACGTTCACCTCTGTGCCATTTGTCTGTTAGACATGCTCGAAGTGAGGTTGGTGAGTTGTGTGCATCCACCATCACTATGGAGGTCCGCTGCTTGTTGACTTTCTGGAACACAGCACCACAATTAACGCACAGCGATACAAAGAAACTTTGAAAAAATTGAAGCGTGCCATCAAATCCAAACACCCAGGAATGTTGACAGACAGCATCATTCTGTTGCAGGATAATGCCAACTCACATGTTACCAAGATTGTTTTGAGTACGCTGCAGAAGTTTCGCTGGGAACTTCTGCAACATAGTCCATACACATCCTCCATACAGTCCCGATTTCTCCCCATGTGATTTTCATATTTTTGGAGCCCCAAAGAAAGACATTCGTGGCCATTAATTTGCTTCGGATGAAAAGGTGCACGTCTGGGTACAATCATGGTTCTGTAGGCAACTGCAAACATTTTTCTATGAGGGCATTGACCATCTTGTTGTACAGTGGGATAAATGTATTAACAGTTATGGCAATTACTTTTGAAATAATAAACAGTTTACTTACTTTTTTCCCATCTGTCTCATTTTCATTTGACTGTCCCTAATAGATATGATTTTGATCAAACAAAAGACTTCTGTACTTTTACTCATTTTCAAGACTAAATTTTTACTTTAAACTTTTCCTACATTTTTAGGAATCATATTTAAATAAAAGAAAACTCAAATTACCTGTTAAGGAAGTCGAAAATAAGAATTTGTTATGGCATTTTCACCTATTGTTCAGTCTGCCATTCAACTAAACTTCATCCAACTAATGCTTTTCATTTTAGTTTTGGGTAGTTAGCATTTGAATTTCTTTTCTATGAAGATATAACAAAACACGTTAAGAACTTAATTAGGTATCATAGTGTTATGATTTATGTTGATTGAATAATATAAATTTGTTTTATAATTTGTAGTTTAGTTCTAATTCCTAAGTAACTTCTAGTTTTAATTTTTAATATAAATAAATCTAAACTATAAAATTTATAAAAACATTAAATTATAAATTGATGTTTATTATTGAATAAACTGTAAGATAATTATTAACAACTGTGAAAATATATTTATTGAAATGAAAATCAAAAATATTTTTAACAGTTCTAATTTTTAAATTATATTATATTATATTCTAAGCTTTAAATCAGACTTTTTTAGTCATTTAAAATTCAACTAGATAATTGTCTATGGTAATAGCTGGTATCTTTAGAATTCTAAGTATAGTCTATTAGTAATATTGATGCATTATATTTTATAAAAAAAGATATTTAAATTTTAAAACTAAACTAAATCAATTTTCAACTTCTTTCATTAGAATCTTTTATATTCATTGAATAGAAATTAAATATTAAAAAATAATTTAATTTATTTATGAAATAATTTTCTATCAGTTAATTAAAATATTTGAATTTATTACAGAAACTTTTACTATGAGTAAAATGCACAAAGATATTGCTGTATATATGGTGAGACATGCAGAAAATGAAAATTCTTCAGATCAACAAGTAATTAAGGTGAGTTCTAAACTTACATTTGCATCCTACTTTATCTATAAAATAAAAGATTTTAAATATGACTTAAGATTTTGTTCTTTGCAAACTTTTTTATTATATGATTTATAAAATTAGGAAAACATGAAGTGATTAACAACTTTGAAAAATCAGAAAATTGCTAGAAATTTTGAAATTTTTATATACTTACTTTTCTCTCACTTGCTCTCTATTTACGTATATAACACAAATTAGTAACAAAGAAAGATAACTTAATTTTCTGTTATGTCTTAAAATTTTTAAATAACATTAAAAATTTCTTATTGAATAATTCAATCTTATTTACAGAAGAAATATTTCAAGATTTCTTCTGTAAATAATTTTAAAATCATTTATTTTAATATTTCAACTGTTATTGTTGAAATTTCTGATTAATTTTGATAAGAAATTAGTGTTAAGTAAAGAATTCTTTAAACTTAAATTAATCAAAAGTAAAACTTAATAAACCAGTTTGAGTACAGTAATACCCCGAACTTACACGATAGGTGGGACCGAGCGATAACCGCGTAAGTCGGGGTATAATTTTGCATATAAATACATACAAATAATTTTTAATTGGGACCGGAGACTAAAAAAAGCAATAATTTAGAAAAAAATGTTTAATAAAATCTTAGATAATACATATGTATAACATATTATATTATTATACAATTTCTCACAATTACTTGATTATCACACCATAATTTTAACATTGTTTCCATCTCAGGGATAATACCGTGACGTTTACGAATGATGCTTGAATTTAAAGATTGAGCATTTTTCGCAGCTTCGAGAATTTTTTCTTTACCTTTTATAATTGTTCTGACCATCGATTCCGGTAGATCAAACTTCTTTGCCAACTCACAAATTTTCATTTTTGTATCGAAGTCTTTCATAATGTTAACTTTACATTCCAAAGATAAAGTTTTTCTTTTCTTGTTTGATGCAGAAGAATCAGTTCTACTTCATTTGGATGACAGAGTAGAGTCTCTCAAGTCTCCATAGATAAAACAAACACAGAAATAAATAACACAAAATAAATTGTAGCTACGCGTCGATTCCGTGTGACATTTCCGAACATGTAAGCTGAACAATAGTGTGGGGGTTGTAAGTAATCAAGAGTTGCGTGGCACTCAGAAAAAAGACGAATCGGCGCGATTTGAAAATCACGTAACTCCGGGTTCGCGTAAGTCGAGGTATTACTGTACAAAAAAGTTTATGGGATAAGAAATACTGTCAATAAACAAACATTCTTTAAAACAAACATTCATAAAGTGAATTTTGTTATTGCCCTGGCAAAACACCATTGTTGCAATCTTAATTTTCAGCATTAAAGTGAACAAAAATTTTATCAGAATTCATTAAACAGAACTTCAAACAACTCAAGAAATAACCCTATTTCCAGTAATGGTTGCTTTTTACACTTTTCAATGTGAACAATAAAAAGTGGTACTGTAATAAATGTTCATTTTTGAGTGGACTAGATTTTCTTCTCCTAGTAAGCAAAGACAGGTATGACCTATGATTGTAGAGCAATTCAAACATATGGTTTTAGCAGACCATTCTACTGTACTTAGAAAATAGGAGTTAACGTTTAAGGATGCCCATCTCTTTGAATGCATCTGGTCCCATTCAAAAACATGCTAGGTCACATATTGGAATGTGCACACAGTGGTGCCAGAAAATATTTTCTGCTTTTTTAAACAATCTTCAACAGAAAAACATGGATTTCTTTTAGCTTTGCTTTGTTTAACCGCTCCAGTATAGTGCTACACACTTAAATGGCAAATACTGTCTCCTCCTCACTTTGTTTGGATTTGTAAATTATTTGGAGCATTAATTTGTTTTTTAAATGAATTTTATTTTATTTACCTTTATTTAGTAAATTTAATTTAAAATAAAATTTAGAGATTTTGATCACCTATTAAGCCTTAGCTATCTAAATTATATAACCTTGACCCTGAAAATCATTAATATGAATTTTTGATAAAGTGAACTAACTAACTGTTTCCTTGGCAATTTCTATTAACACAAGTTGACTGACTGTATTGATCTTTTAGAATTCATTTTTATTTTATTTTTTTTTTTTTTGAAAATTTAATCAAACTTTATTCATTCAGGATAAAATTGATTTTGCTAATTCTCAACCTGAGAATTAGTTAAAATAATAAGTGCAAAATATGCTCTAATAATTGATGCTAATACAGCACTCCTCACTTATTTGTTTAATGACCTCTTGGACTCATGATCAGATTTTCATCGATGTTAAGCCTAATGTAAACTTTTTAAAATAATAATCATGGCTATTGTATTTTTAAAAATTATTTTTTTATTTTTTACAAACAAAATAAATATATTGAAAAATATAAAAACAAAAAAAAATTATACTTTAGAAGTTAATCTAGTATCAAAAACGTTTGATTCAGCATGACACACAGTCCTCAGAAAAACACCACACAAAAGTGCCAGTGCTGCCAGCTAAAATACACACATCAACAAAAAAATATTGGAGTAGCCCTAGATATAGCCAAAGATTGCAGCGCCACAGCACTAGTGAAAATTTAAATTTGCTGACTGGAATTCTTTCGGATAACTGACGTTTCAAATAAACGGCGCTCTACTGTATATATAATTCTTGAAGCATAAAAATACATTTTACATCAAATAACATACAGTCGACCCCCCTATAATTACGGTCCCTATAGTTACGATTCCTATAAAACTACGAAAAAATTGCTACCGGTATCCGTAAAAAATAGTAAAAGTTCCCTATAAACACCTCAAACGTCATCGGGAAGCCGAACTACTTTCCCGCCGTCCGTAGCGCCACGCTACGGAGAGATTTCTATCGTCTGGACAGTATTATATAAATTATATATAAATTAGGTACTGTACATATAATTATATATTAATTATATATAAATTAGGTACTGTATATATAATTATATATTAACTTATTGTAACTTTGTTATAATTAAATATATAATTTCCGCCGTCTAGCGTGGCGCCACGCTACGGAGATTTTTACGCTAACTATCGTCTGTCAGTATGTAAATTAGGTACCGTAAGTCTAATACAGTACTGTAATTTTATACATTTCTTGTGAAAGAAACATTTCTTATTCAACGGCGATTAAAATTATTTATATTAATGATGTCTCCGAAGTTCTACGAAGTTTTCACAGAAAAATAAGTTGTTAGAAATCGGCCGCTCTTTGCTGAGCTGTTCCGCGACGAAAACAATGTTGAGCAATGGCAATGTCGAATGGTGACACTCGGTAAGTAATCCTACAATTTTTTGTTTATAGCGTAGTTTATACGGATTATTCCCAAAAAATATATACGTATTTTGGAAATGTTGAGTCGGATTAGTCTAGAATCGATTAATTTTATGGAAGAAAATCTTTCAAACAGCCGTAGTCCGTAAACTTGATACGTGTCGGGTTGTGATTGGAAGGATTCGTAAGAAAGCGGATTCCTAGAGAATGGAACGTATCTCTATCTTATAGGGGGGTCGACTGTATATTGAATAGCTCTTCATATATTTATCTGCTAGTGATTTATTCAAGAATTAGTTTGTGATTAGATGAATCTTTTTCTTTTTTTATTTTTGTTAACATGATGATTTAAATTTATCAAATACAGGTAGTTCCCACTCTTGATTGTAATACTGGAGCATTCCTTAAAATGTGTATAAAAGTTGATTCTCTGAAAATTTAACAATAGAGTTGCAAGAATTTACACTCTTCAAAAGTGAAATCACAACACCACAAAGGAATGTGCTTAGCCATATGCACATTACAGTATTGGTAGAGGTGGCAGATATATGCAAATTATTAAAATAACAAAGATATACAACAGACACCTGTTTATTCAGTAATGAATATGTCCCCGGTGGGCATATATGATGAGGTATACTATCAATGAGGCAATTAATGGTTGCCCGAGTTATTCCTTGCCATGCTACATCCATTGCAGTACACATGCCTACAGTATATGGCAGTGGTCCCTGGTCCCATAGGTGTTTGATGGGATTGAGATCTGGCAATGCTACTGGCTATGTAAGGATGTGAATTCCATTCAGAATGGTAAGAGTTCACCATATGATGTGCAGTCGGGCATTATCTTGTTGGAAGAACATCTTGTCAGTTGCAACCTGCACCAGTAGCTAAACCATAGGTCCCAAAATTCATGTGATTCTCTGTCAGAATACTGGAAATGTGCACCAGGCTATTTGCTGATTGAACATGATGCCCAGTGTGAGGCTAGTGTTATGCTCAGCGAAAAGGGCTAGCATGTAGTATTCCCCAGGATACCTGAAAACCCATCCATGGGTTTTGAGGTATCATTTCTCCACAGTCAGATTCATCCATAAACAACGACAATGACACCACACCAGGTATGCAGCTCTGTAGCTTTGAGCTTTGGATGTCACTTGCCCTGACAAACAGGTCCCAATAGACTGTTCAGTGAATCTACCAATCTGTGCACTGTCATGCATTAGTGCAATCCACTCCCTCTTTGGTGTGTTCACAGATGTTTTTGTGTCTATTGTGTCACACATCGCTGGGTGGTATTTGTGTCATGCTCAACATGCATAGCAACTGCATGCATTGACAAATTGAGGTCTTGCAGCTCTAGGATAAGGTCTTGTTCTCCAGTCATTAACTGGTGGTATTCAGCTTGCTGTCATCTTCAAAGCATTCTCTATGCTTCAAAAGTTTGGCTGCCGCAAACCATTGCTGATAGCATTTACAGTCCAAGCTAGCTGCCGGTCTTTGTAGCCCAAAACTGTGTACCACATGACCCGATATGTATGCAAACCTAATCCTTTGCATATCTCTGTCACTTGTACTGGTCATACAATTTGCATGTGGCTACATGCATTTCTTTGTGATGTTGCAATTTTACTTTTTAGAAGTGTAGCTCACAAAGAATTAGAAAAAAAAATAATAAAATCTTTTACCAATATAGAAAAGTTTCACATTTTTATAGTGAATATTTTATATACATAAAACGTCAAAACCATAGCTTAAATGGAAAACAGACAATAAAAACTAATTTTCACAAATAAATTTGTTGTTACTGAGACCAAATCTGGCAGAAGTGCTGTCAAATGATAGTTTGAAATTTTGTAATAATAGATTTTTGTAATTCATTTGCTTTTATTTGTANTACATTAAACATAAAACAAAATTATATTATATAAATGTTTTATAGTAACATAAATTTCAGGAAATGATAATCTCAGTATACAATGTTT